GATGGTACAGACCTGACAGAGCTGTAGACATCTACAAAACAAACCTTTAGACTCGAATCATTTTTCTAAAGTCTTTCACAGCCCCCAAAGAGAAACAGGCACTTCCACAGTACAGTTAATCTCCTGCCAATGTATAATGGAAGTGGCTCAAATGAATCACATGCTGGAAATGCCTGTTTCTCTCCCATGGGATTCAGCTGCAGGTGAGGTGAATTCCACTCTCTCTGCTTAACCTGTTCATAAAGACTCAGTGATAGAAAAGCCACAATATCCTTACAAAAATACATCTGAATACTTTATACTCATATTGCTTGACAGATTTTCCTATTTAATTTTCCTTCCTGTAGTTAAAGCATGTTATTTCTTGCTCTGTTTATCATAGATGTGGAAAGCAGGCCGTTCTCTTTCTTTCTGTAGCAGGTCGTATTTTTATGTCCCTTCTGTCTCCCATAACTATACTCCCACACTCGGTCTTCACTTCTGTATACTAAATAAGCACAGGTTATGCAACCTTTCTTTATAAGTCATATTTTCCGGAGCTCTGGTCATTCCCCTTACTTTCCTGTCGATTCTTGCTGGTTGATACACAGTTGGCCAGTCCAGCATTGCTGAGCTTACAACTTATACTTTGTATTTCACAGGTTAGATTCCTATTTGCACACCCCACAATGACTAAAAGTTGTATGTCATCATCAGCATAGATAATCTATAACATGAAAAGGACAGCTCAACCATCTTGTTTGTACATTACCAGCCCAAGAAGGGTGGTACCACAAAACCCAAACAGATAATGAAGCTTTCATTAAGCGTATTTCAACTCTGGTGATTAAATTTAAATGAGCTTTAGTGTGATCAAATCTTTTTTAACTGAACATCTGAACGCACATGCACATATAGCCATGAATTTGTCAAGTTGTTTCTTTAAGGGGCAGTTTGAATCAACAGAATTGTTTTTATAATAGGAACATGTGAAGTTTGCTAATCTGCATGAAATATTCCTAGACAGAAGGAAGAAGGTAGTTAACCTCGAGAATGATCGTCTTGGTCAAAAAAGTCAGGGAAAGAGAACTTGTGATTACTTGAAGGCAGCCTCATTTTACTCCTTTAGTTGGCTGGAAAGATGCAGACAGGCACATATGGGGAAAAGTATGGACTGAACTCCCAAAACCCCAACTATGGATTGCTTAATGTCTGTGTTTAATATATTAAAGTTCCCCTTCTCCCAAAGGTTAAAAGGAATCAGGACAGAGATATATATGCTTATAAAACCAACTTACTGTTGCCAACAATAAAACTTTTTTTTGGACTTTTTTTTAATGTCCTGACATATTACTGCTCTGAAGTTCTGAATTTCCTTAGTATTAAAGTTCATCTTTGACCTTTCACCTTTTCATGTAGACGAATTAGTCAGGGAGAAAAAACCATTCCTCTTTGACCTGGCTTGCTTATTATGACTCCTTCAAGAATTTCAGTCTGAGGCTATTTGCCAGAACTGTGTTTAGCTCTGAGAGGAGAAAGAACCTCCCCCACTCCAGAATGCTGCCATCCAAATTTATCTCTTGGCTTTCACTAAAGACTTGGGTTTTAAAACACGCTGGCTTAAATTTACCCCAGTAGGGGTAAGAGCTCTGCTATGCCAGTTTATACCTACTGAGAAAAGTTGCCCTTCAGAGCTGCTTGCTAGTGAACCTTCTTATTCTGTAAATTCTATAAATTCCTGGTGTTTTAGGAGTTAACCAAGTCAGAAAGATACCCTGTAGAAGATAAAATTGTTACTCATGACATAAAATGCCGGCCTGTGAAATTCATATGCTACAGAAGTCCATAATGAGAGCGGCAGGAATTTGAAAAACAGTGGAAAACTTTGACTGGTAACATTTATGTATTATGCAAGCAAAGCAAAGCTGCAAGCATGCTTGAATTTTATGCTTGAAGGCACAAATTGATTGCTTGTGGTGGAAGGAATAATGAAATTCCTCCATGTCATAACATCACAGGATCAACCAGGTGAATTGTAATAGAAAGGGCTACATTCCTCTGACAGTGATGGTGATTGCCAGAGGCAGCCTTCTCATTTATATTCACTTAGAAACGTTCCAATGCATTGTGTATGCATGCATCAGATCATCTTTGGAATAGATTTATCTACCCCTTCTATCAGCCTCTTCACTTTGTACAATTACAGAACACATATGTATCAGAGAATAGCAGTGTTATTTTCAAAGCATTCCCTAGGCAATCCTGCAGCAGCAAAAGGTTCCTTCCCTATCTGCTTGCTATAGTTTCCATCATTAGCCACACTGAAACAGAGTCAGAGCTCTAAATGAAATAACAAAACTGGTATGCACCCCACCACATTTTGGCAGTAGGACAATGCCAGTGGTTAAACAGAGCCAACAAGAAAGGAGTGTTGTGTGTTGCTTCCTTATCAATGTGGCAGTGAAAGGCACTTCAAATGGACAACACAACATGTAAGGGCTTGCAGCAGCAAGTGGAAGCTAATTCAGATTATCTGTATGGGGAACCCAAAGGCTAGAACAGACCAGGGTGTGATGACCAAACCAAAGCACAAATCCCTGGTGCATGGAGCAGAGGCAGCAAGCTGGGCTGTAGGTAGCTGGAGGTTTCTTCTCTGTGTTCCCACCACAATCAAGGAAAGAACATGCAGAACTGAGGCAGAATGATAATAGAGATAACAGAAAAGTATGAGAGACTGGGTGTCAGATCAGAAGGATCTGTGTAATGAGAAATATGATAGGGAAGGGGAGGTAAGACCAGTTATGGGAAGTAAGATGAGACACTGATTATGAAAAAAAGTAAGAAGCAGGAAAAGAAAATAGGTACAAGTGCAGTATGAGGAAGAAACTGAAAAGAGAATAGGAAAGTCAAGAGAGTCAAGAAAATCAGAACAAATGAATGCAAAGAGTTTGCCTCAAGGGGAAAACATGCAGACATAAAGGGGTACATATAGCCACAGAATCAGCAGCTGAGGCCAAATGTTGCCATTTCCACCTGCTGACATACACTCAAAACTGTGCCCCAAGGAGAGCTTATAGGATTCCCTTTGTTATGATGCTGACACTGCTCACAACATTAGATTTAAGCAAGGGAGTGGAAAAATGAGAACCTGTGTCACAGAGTAACGTGTTAAACTGCTCACCACTTCCAAATCTGCGCTGCTGTGAGTGCTCCTCGCACAATCGGGTAAATACAGCTCTTCGTCGTAATGAGACAGGCTTCTTGACTGAAAGAAAAATGTTTCAGAGTTGAGTAAAACAGTGCTATCATAATAATTTTTGCCTATAAAACTGCAAAATGCATGATATAAAATGTTGGGGGTTTGGTTTTTTGGTTTTTTTTTTTTTTTTTCCCCCAGGCAAAAGCAGTGTTCTATGTCATGTTCATTACTGGCTATATTACAGATGAATACATATTTGTGTGAGCATAAGATGAAGACAATTCAGTGGTCCTCTGGATTTCCTTCTAGTGAATACATCCATTGTTACCTGAATATGCATTCAAATATTCAAAGAGTCTTGATTTGGAGTCCTGCATGCTGAGGGTTTCCATGAAATAAGCCAAATGTTTCCAATTGTGTGACACTGGGAACATCCCACAACACAAGCAGCTTTGGATAGTACATCAGCTTAAATGAAGTTTTAAATTCAATTAAGCCAATTTTCACTTAAACAAAGGCACCTTTACACTGCCAGAACAATGACACAGGCCTTTATGTCAGTGAGAATCTGGCCCAACTATGTCGCTCTTTTTTTACTGACTGAGAAAAGGCTGGTGCTCCAGCCTTCATTCTTTTTGTATCTAATATTTCAACAGGCTTTTCTTTAAGCCCTAATTCTGAGATCGTCCATGTGTTATATCTGTTTGGAACAGTCTTTGCAAAACATGGAAAAAGTATTTATCTTTTCTTGAACTTGCACTGATAATTTTGAGTCTGGGAACATTGAAACCAAAAGGCCTAACCCAACAAACTGATCCAAACCCAATAGAAATACTCTAAAAATCCAGAAGGCCACTTCCTTTCAGTTGTTGAGATCTTAAAACAAAATGCATCATTAATCTGACTTGCTTAGTAATTTCAGGTTCTAGCACAAAACAGAATTTGGCTTTTAACTCATCTGTTTTGCTGAAAATATCATGCTAAGAGTCATCTACAAATGACAGCTTCTGGAAGCATGCAAATGATTGAGACATCATGAAACATATTTCAGAATCAAAAGCAAGTTTGCAACTGTGGAAATAGAGTTGGAAAATGTTTCTGGATCTTTCTAAACAACTCTGAATTACCTTTAGTCTCCAGGTTGACTTTTCCAGGGAGAGAAAATTGCCGATGTTTCAGATTTTGCCCGCATTTTGAATTATGGCTTTGAACATCAGGCCTAGTTAATTCCTGTAGATTTACAATCACTTGTCAAATGACCTCCTCTTCTCTAGAAAACTGTTTCCAATGAGATACAATATTTAAACAGGAAAGTTCATTGCTACTTATAAAAGTTTACAGTAGGATACCTTCTATTGTAAAAAACAAAGCAAACAAAAACCCCCAAAATATTTAGTTAACATACAAAAAGAAAGAAAAAAATCAAACGAATAGCAGTTTTTTTCTTATGCCTAATGTATTTGTCTGTGTTCATCTTCAAATACATCATGTTTTGCCATACCTAAACTGAAATATTATCTGGATGGATGGTGGTGGGTTTTGGTAGTCCATGAAGCAGCATGCAAAATGTTGTTTCATACACTCCAGTGTGCTGTGTTTTGAGATCATGGAGGGACTAGAAAAATGTTTTATTTTTTAACTTCTTAAATGAAATAAAGTATTTTATATAACAAAGTCATGCAAAGTGAAAGCTGTAAGATATACTAAATTGTAAGTCAGGCTACATTAAAACCTTCTTTGGTTCTCAACCTATCATCTTCATTAAGAGTAAAAGGTTGCTCTTGCCAATTCTGCATTTTTTTTTTGTTCTCTTCTTTGGCAGATGTACATCCAAGGAAAGCTACTCTTTGCCAATTATATTTTCAATGGGTACAGCAAGTCAACTACAGACCTTCAAAAACAAATAGCTAAGACAAGGAGTGATTATCACATGGGTTACTGTCTTCCAGGTGACTTTAAGTTCAGGTATTTCTTCCATCATCATGGTTTTCAAATCACTTCATTCTGAGACCTTTGGCTTCTTTGTTCAGTTTCTTAAATATAAAGCACTGTGACTCAGAGCAGCAAGTACAGCAGTCAATATCAAAGCATCGGCACCTTTTTGGTGTCTTTGCAGATTTTACATCTTGCATATTCCTTCCTGTCCCATTCAACAGTGAGGACTGTTTAACCTTAACTGATGAGCTACAGAATCTTTACTGGCAGTTACTTGCAAGGAGGAAATAACAAAACAGAGGTGAAGATTCTGGGCACATCCCCCATTTCTTTTGTGCATGTCTGACTAAAATTGATTTGTTTTACAGGCTGTTCAATTTACATTTTGGCACTATGCATAAAAATTTAATTGCAATTAAAGGCCCAATTACTTTAGCCAGGTGCCTTCTGGCAACTAGCTTCGTCATTTAATTAACAGTTGCAGGGAAGCTTTAGAAGCATAACCTGGAGAAATAGCAGTAGATGGTCAGATACTTCACAGCTGCATACTGAGCATACAGCTCACAGAGTGAGCATTCCCAGGAGCTAAAGCATATGCTGCAACAGTTAGCTCTCTTGTAAGAGTTTCCAAAGCAGAAACAAAGAAGAGGAAATAATTGCAAATTCTGCAATGTATTTATTACTTAGCTTTTAGGAACCATATAATTATTTTTAATTTAGTGATGCTGCAAATCAGTAATAAAACTGGAACGTCACAGTGCCTGGTATGAATGCAAAGGCCACTGCATTCCACTACTGATGTAACCCATGCAACTTGTAGGGTGTATTGATGATGCTGATGCTCTGTTAAACTACTGTTAATAGCTGTAAAAGCAGGTGACAGCAGTCACAGCAAAGAACAACACACGATATAGCCCCAAATGAAGTGTGCAGTCTTTTGCTGAGCTGCTCTTAGCTAGCTTTCACAGGTCACGGAAGGCCTGTTCCTTTCTTGTACTTCTTTTTAGCTTAATAAAACAATGTATTTCATTTATACTGAACAACAACAGCAAACAGCACGTATTATAGTTTTAGGCCACTGTTCTCTGAGGCTAGTCACTTCACATGTGCACACAAAACAATTACTGGAATAGTAGAAAAGTCAGGGATTAAATATGACAGGTAATTAACAGTAGCATTTTCAAACGCATTAATTACTGGCCTACCATGCTTTCCCTCCAAGTCAGTGGCAGCAAGCTTTCTTGACTGCAGTCAGGACAGATTAGCTTTAGGCTGGGTGTTTTTGCAAACACTTCTCTGAATGACTAGAAAGGCTGCACTGGTCTGTGGAATTCCCTGTGCTGGTTCCTCTCCACACTAGAATTTTCCTAAATATTTCCCACCGTGGCATCATCCCTAAATGCAACTTTAGAAGCAAATGTATGCAGTCACACAGATGGGCATTTTCCCAACCTAAATCTAAGTATAACCGATGTCACACGTGGTCAGAGCCAGCATGGTTATTCTACATGTGTGTTTCTGCTCCTTGCTACCACAACACCATGACAAGAAATCCTTAAATGCTACCAGTGGGACATTCCACAGAGTTCTTGCATGTACAAGCTGTGAGCACATGGACAGGTGCAACTGGGGGCACAAAACCAGTCTTAATGAACGAGAGGGTGATGAAGAGTCTGGGAGCAAACGAAGGCCATGTGACATAGCTATTTCCATATACACTCCTATATTTATATAGGTGGTGCTAAAGATGTGATTAATTTCATCCTTAAGTAAATGTCTAATTACAGATGAAACAGTAGGTTCTCCAAGAGCAGATGCTCCTTGTATTTTCCCTCTTGCTAGCTAACCTCCCAACCTCAAAAATTGCCAAATACCCAACAGAGAGGTGCATGTGCCTGTTCTGTTCACTTTCTTTATTTCAATACCTTGGATCCACTGCAATGGACCTTTGAACTCTTTCCACCTGGATAACATGCTGTGGAAAAGATACTATAGAGAGTACAGCTGTAGCTCAAGGAAGATCCTGCACTGCTAAAAGGGATTAGCATCAGTGAAACACTGAAAATCTTACTTTTCACTGGGAACATAAAAGAAGCACTGTCATTTCTCATGAAGTGATGAAGTGGTTCATGAAGTGATTTCTTGTGAGACGGCATTTTCTTGTTTGGGAAGTAAGCAAACAGGTCCTGCCCTGCATTAATTTTTTCCTCTTCACCTACCTGGAAGATGAGTTAAGCATGGAGACAGCATAGAGAACTGGGTGGATTAAGCCGAAGGCCGCACTTCTAGGACAAAAGTGCCCAGACAGTCCTCTTCCAAATCTCTGCTCAAAACTTACTTCACTCAGAGGACCACAGGTTCATTAGCATATGTCAGCAGAAACAACCAACCATCCATGATGACAAACTTCATCTTTCAGTACATTTTTTGTGTCTTGTCCATTTGCTTATACCATGGGTATCCCATTCTAGGTTTCTTCTTCGCTATCTTATCAAAGCATGGACTATGCTGCAAAATAACCCAAGGGAAGCTTAATACAGTAAAACTGATTACAAGTTGGGATCAGTGGAATATAAATAGAAGTCTGAATGACTGGCTTTTTAGGACTGGTCTGGCTCCATCTCAGCCAGACCCACTACACCAGACCAGGTTACCTGACAACAGTGCAAGTATTTCCAATATGAAGCAGCACAGTAGAAGGATGAGAAGAACAGGTTTTAATGAGAGAAAGGAGAAATACAGCAATACAGCTGATACAAAAAAGTACACAATATAACACAAGTGTCTAATAAATTAGCAGAGAACTCGAGAAACAGGAAGAAAGTTTCAGATGACTGAAGAAGGAGGCTTGCTCAAAAAGATACAATCTTAAGTCTTCATAGATATATATATATACATTCTTGGCAGTATAGGAAACGTACAGTTCTTACATAGAAAATATTGACTGTCTGAAGTGGTAGTATCAATTCCTGAAGAATATTTGCATATGGTACATTATGAAGAATACACACAGGCAATTTAGCATTCAAAAAATTTCCAAGCAAAGGAAAACATTACGGATCCCTCATGGCACACAGGCTTCTCCTTTTAACAGCAGTGATTGGATCTGTTCAGTATTCCATATGAAAATAAACAAACCTGGAAATAGCAAAGGATAGGCAAGACCTTTTGTACTGCACAAGAATTATTCACACATTAGGCAGCAAGATTCCATACATAAGAATAAATACTCCTGCCTCACCAAGATTTCCCTTGCCTTTCAAGATCAAATTATTTCCCTTCTTCCCCACTCATCTCTAAGCTTTCCTTCCTGGGGATATGAATTAGGTGAGAGTGAGTCATACTTAAGTGAGAAGAGCTGACAACAGCTGTCAACCTTAAAACCAATATAGGGAAAGTTTACAGGAAGAGGTGTGCATCAGCCACAGCTCCTAAAATCAGAAGAACACAGCCTTTGTTCTGATAATAACGTCTAACCACTATGAGGAAGCAAAGAGCTTCAAAAGGAGCCAGTCTGTACTGTTGCCACTATTTTGGCACTTTCAAAGCGTACAGAGAAATTCTGTTTCTTAGGAGTCATACAGCTAGACAAGTAGAAGACATCTCCTGCAGAACACCTATGCCCAGGTCCTGGGTTTAAAGATCTACTTGCTACCAGTCTCCTCAACTGACACATTATTCTCTTCCTAAAGCCCCACCTACCTAGCCATTTCTGTGATGCTAAAAGGGATTTTGCTAACAGTTGCCACATGGTTGCACAGCATACAGGTCTCTGAAAGATGATGGGAAGGTGCCACTGAAAGCATAAGACACACAGAAAAACATTCTTTCTTCTGTCATCACTTATTTAGACAAGACTAACCAGTGTTCATAACTAAAGTGCTTGCACTAAGGAGCCAGCAAAATATACTGCAGAAACTGTTGGCAGGATTGCTTAAAATTAATTTCATCTTCAAGATGAAAGAGGAATTATAAATAAACTTCCATATAAAAGATCAAACAAAGTGCTGATACAGCATTTATGAGTCCCTGTAGAAGCATTTCCTGTTCTATTCAATCATTACTAACTGAAGGATGGATGAGTCGCATCCACGCCACCTAGACAGCTGTCAGGGATACAAAATAAGGAGAAAAAGTGATACATGCAGTAGCGAGGCAAAATTTTACTAGAGATGCTGAAGAAATAATAGCAACCAAAAAGACTTTGAAAGTGATTAGTATTACAATTGAGAAAACTACTTCTGAAACTGTGGAAACTCAGCCAAAAACTAAAAAAAAAAATGGCTTAAAATTAATCTTGGTGATGCACATCATCAAATATGTAAAAAAGACTTTAGGTCCTGAATCATATCCATGGGAAAAAGGAAGGATGTGAAGTGGGAAAGTAAGAAAAAGAGAACAAAAGGGTTTGGGAAAATATCACAGGCAAGAAATCGTACCACATAGAAAGGGCAGAACCCAGGAATGTCTTCCTGCTACTGCCTACATCCAACCCAGAACTTCAGTGCTTAGAGCCCTAACACAGCCAGCTACCAGGCTTCATACCTGCTTTAAAGAGCTGCTGATCTAAACCTGCTTGAGGCCGATCTAATCAGCTGTGTTTAAAGCAGCATCAGCAACTGGCAGGGTAGGTGCAGAAGAGGCTCCCAGTGGAGCCAAACCACACGGATTTTCAGTGCAGTCAAAGGCAAGAGACTGACGTCATACAGAGCTTAAAGGAAGAGATATGGAGATTGATTTACATGCAGCTTGATACACCAGCACAGCAGGACTGAGTCTTTCTGTGGAAACAAAATGTAGATAAAATAGAGGGTTTTTAAGAGCTGCTGAAGACTACCAGTCTGGTGAATGTTTCCTGTCTCAACACTGAAGAGAAATTGTGGATCCTTCCCAGCATCTGCAAACTTCAGCGTGTATCACCTGTGATTTCCCTCTGTAACCCTGCCAGAAGTCTCTTATTGCAGTTTGTTCTTTTAAACATTTCCTCTTATATTTTAGCTACCATTTATTAACCAATTAAACAGCAGCTTACCAACATTCTTTTCTTTCCCTTCCCTGTAGTTTCCTTGGCAATTTACGCTGCCCTTAGGCCCTGTTTTGGGAAACTCAGACTTAGGCAGGAAATGTTGAGGAACATGTATCTGTTTACATGCTTAAGGTAGGGCAGATGGGCATACAGGCACTCACAGCAGCTCAGGTGCAAAGCCTTGATAAGAGAAAACAAAGTTAAATAGCTTTTCTAATTAAGGGTGTAAAATCAGTGTGCATTTTAAATACCTCTGCACAGCCTGCTTTGTAGAACAGAATTAATTTCTTTTGCCATTAGATAGCAAGAATTAAGTTTTTGTTTACTTTCTGAGTAAGTAACTGGAAAGTTTTATATGAGAAAAATACCTCTTCACTTGACAAGACTTCAGTGTGATATCTGGCGATACACTGTACAATATGAAGAGAGAGTGTGTGTATACATATACACATATATATATTAAAAAAACCCGACACAAACCCTTCAAATTAAGTTATGAAACAATCCATTAATGCTGCTCAATAAAAATTCAAAATTGTTCAATTCATGGGAGATGTAGTAGTAATTGTGTTCTGAAAACAGATGCTCTTGGACAGCGGAAAAGGCTTAAGCATAACTGCTAGATCTCAGAGCTTCCAGGGCTCAAGGCCTGGCAGCCGTGGAGCCAAAGGGGAACACAGACTCAGCCATAACTGTGCCACCCTCCTGTTGGAAAGAACAGCTAAAGTTCATATAATGAGGAACACGTGTTCCAAGATCAGTTTTGCTGAGGAGACATGACCATCTTATGATCATTAAGGAGGGGGATTTCTGGAAGTGAATGTTTTGAAGTCCAGGAAGGAATAGGAGAGCCAGGTTGAAACGCAGGTCAAAGCTCCCTGGAGAGTCAGGACAGACACGTTACCAGCCCTAAGAATCCTTCTGTTTATGAGTTTGTGACTGGGAATGCACAGCAGCATCTTGGTGTAGATTCCCTCTAACCTGCTGTTTCATAAATTTTAGAAAACTGCTTCAGAAATGAAGGGGAAAAGTGGCCAAGTTTCTAAAGAGTTGGCAGCAGAACGTTGAAAAGCCGGACTGCTAAGAGGGAAGAGAGAGACATCCGGAGGAAAGAACAGACCTAGCAAAAACTGGAGCTTTGGAAGATACCTGCAGTCGTTGAGCCCGGCTCAGCACCCCCCCAGTCAATCACCTCAGTACAACCCTCCTCACAAGTGGTCAAACCAGAAGAGCTTCTCCAGCCCCTGTGTGCCCAGGCCCAGTCTTTTGCAGTGTGGCCACTAATGTTTAAGCTCCTATTGGAGATACATTACCTGGTGCATTAAAGGATAGTAACCTTGGTGAGAAACGAACAAAAGAAACCTCTCTACAACTGGTTTGTGTGGCCTATGAAGAGGAAAGTTGAGAAGGAAAAAGTTTGAGTGGGATTGTATGGCATGGATGATGCAGTAGAGCAAGGCAGAGACAATAAGCCCAGAATGCTTGTGAGGCACCCTGCTCCTGTATAGGTTTCATTCAGCACCGTTGCATGATCTCTCCAAGCTTTGCAGACCTCGAGCACACAGATGCACGCCGAGTGTCTGTGAACACTCATGTTAGGACATTAAAAACCTTGAGTACAGTGTCATACTGAGCAGTGCAGGAAGAGACAGCATGAAGTTGTTTTAAATTTGACCAGCTGTGGCTTTGGATGAAAGATATGGAGGACAATTCATAGATTTCTGGCTTTTATCCCATAATACATTTAAAGCCTATTATTATTATTATTATTAATTATTATTATCGAAACATATATAAAACATTTATGGTGCTTCTATTGAGATCAAATGCATGATTCTCTGTTAGTAATGACTACTGAAGACATTTAACACTGACTTTTCTCTTTTTGTTTATTTAGGAATGGACCTCTTTTTAATAGCACAAAGTAATGGAAAGCATTGGTCTGGTCACTCCATTTGGAAATTTGAGATTATTTTAAGTTCTCTTCCATGCAGCTGGAGAAGGTCAGGAAGCAGTCTTAAAATATTAAAATTTGAGCACAAATCAAGCCAACTAATGACACTTATTTTGTGACCTTATTCTAGAATTGCCGTTATTTCTAAAACACTGTTTTTTTTCAGTAAGCCAGAATTACTTATAAAAGCCAATATACACAGAAAGTGTGGTATAAATTTGAGCTGCTATATATTATTATTTCTGTTTTGACTGTAGTACTCACCATTATGGTGTCCACCGTCTGTTTCAGTTCTCAAATCAAATGGGAAAGTCAGTATATATTTCTAGATCTAATCATTCCAATGATGAAGATATAGAAGAATCAAGCTGTGTTACACACACAAAAAGAGTCTATGTGTTATTTTAAAATCTGAACCTCTTAAGAGTGGTGGTAAAGAGAGAGGACTATGGGTGTCAAGAGGGACCAGAAGGGTGAAAACAGTAAGCAGAAAAAAACCCATGCATGATCATTTCAGTTTCACTAGCAGTATAATAAACAGTTCCTAGAGACTCCGTGGAATAAGACAGCCTAGGCCTGAAGAACAGAAAAACACGGACTCAAAATGAGCAAGAAAAATAATGAGTGGCATCATCCTTGATCAACAGAAAATACGGAGATGAAGGAAGCAACATAAGGAGTTGAGTTTATGCCACTTCAGTACAGACACTAATGCTATAACTCACAGCATGTAAATGTTCATTCAAACCTTATTTAAATTTGAACTATGGCATTCCTCCTCATCACCCAGGCACGTACGCTCTCCTGCTCCCCTGAGATGCTGCTACTGCTCTTTCAACCACAGGATGAACTAGTTGTGGGAGCCAGCTGAAAGTTATAGCAGTGGTGCATTTTCAGCCAGATCCATGTCCTAAATCACTGAGTGGTTACAAAACCAGCCTAAAGGAGTGACTGAGATTGAAAGGCCATGGCAGGGCCGCAGCAGCCTGGACCTGGACTGGTTTAAGCTGCTGTAGAACAGCATCCCCTAAAGGAGACTGTCCATGAGGCCTTTAAGATTTAAAGCTGAGAAGGCATAAAGGTCAGAATATGCTGATCATGTGAAAGTATTAAAGTTTTGGTCCTATTCAACCATTTTAAAATAAGCCACTTTGTAACAGAGAAACAAACTCTTTTTCCTCGTCTACTAAATCATAGTCACTTTTCAGAATCTATAGTCACTTCTTCAGAATTCTGTGTTCAATTCAGAAAGTGTAATGTGGGGTAACAGAGTATTCAAGCTGTTGAGTCAAGTTTTATTCTGACGAACCTGCCCATAACTTAAGAGATGGCAGTGTGAAAGGTGACAGCAGAATATTGAGATCAGTTACATACTGATCTGTAGCTCAAACTATACTGCCGTATCTGCCCACTAAGCAAAGCTCATGGAAAGTAGATTTCACCCCTACCTATGACCATGTCTTATCATCACAGTTATGGTTCCATTACCACTTATTTGATTACTGCACAAATTTCCAAGTCACATAAATCGGAGTGTATTTTTTGGCATTTAAAGTTCAAGGTGATAAAATAAAAACATATACATGAGGGCATTACATATCATGAGAATATGAACAAAGCACACGTCCAAGCATTTTAAAAATTAACCACAGAAGCCTTCAGTTTGATCCCTGATATCCATATATGCACTGCCATGTTTCTTGTGTGATAATGTATTTTGTGGCATATGCTTATTCATCAGACACCAGAACAGCTCTGAAGTCAAGCTGAAATTTAAACAAGTGTTGTTTGGCATCCTTAGTTTGTGTTAGACCAGGTGGCAGCTGTTGGAAGATCATTATGATTTAACAACTTTTTGTTTTGTTAGCAAAGAAAAACATTGTCCAGCCAAATCCTGCTGACAGTGAATAAATATTTCTCCTCCATTAGACCAAATATTTTCATTTGTCGTCCTAATAGCTAGGGGTAAAAGATCTGAAAATATTTTTTTCCTATGTGGACTCAAATATATCTGAATGGCTCAGTGTTTTATGAGAGGTGATTATTACTCCATACTCAGCACTGTTGAGGTTACGTCTGGAGTTCTGCACCACACTTTGGTCATTATACTTCAAAAACTGGACAGATTTCTAGAGGAAAGCAATCAAAAGGTGGAAAGCATGATCTCTGCAGAAGGACTGAGAGAAGAGAGCTTGCTCAGTTTAAAAAAGAAAATTAAAAAACATTATGGACAAATCTCATTTGTAAAAGAGTGTGATAAAGATGAGTGCATACTGGCATTGGAATTAGCAATAATTGACCAAACACGAAACTGAACAAATTTATAGAAAAGAACTCAATTGGGACCTGTTAAGCTGACAGCCAACAACACTAGCTCAAAAAGACCATGAGCTACAAATTGTTGGGGAGTAGCCTGGGGAAACATCACTACAAGATCTCCCTTTTCTCATATTCTTCCCTCAGCATCTGCTATTAGTCCCTGTCACAGACAAGATCCCAGAGTAATCCGACCCTTTACCCTGACCATGTGCCTTTCTCATGCTCTGCCTGATTCTTCAAATGAAACAGTATGAAAACCTGTTAATTCTAAAGAGTAATTAACCTGGGAACAAGACGCTTGCAGAGCAACAGCAGCCCTTCACTAAATAAAGAACAAGAGCAGTTTAGTATACTTGACCTCTTGTTTCTGTTAAAACAAACAAAAAAAAAAAAAGGAAAAAAGAAAAGAGGGATGGACTACAAGATTACAAAGTTCAGCACAGGCCAACAACTCTACAGAGTCCAACATTTATATGTTTCTTTACTATCAAAGAAATTAATAAGACAGTTGCAATTTCTGCACTTCAGATACACATAAAATTTCCAACAGTTGGGTCACACACAGAGAGGTGTGGTGAGGACAAAGTCTGAAGCCTCAGTAAAACTGGCTACTCTACCAGATTCTGTCTTGTTTTTAGAAAACTAAGTGTGAGATTCAGTGATGTCTAGTAATCCTCTGTCAGAAGTAAAACTGTCTCACTACTGCAACTGATAGCAGAAGCCTTCACATTTGCGAATCTTGCTTATAGTTGACACAGGCACATTTGACTCCATTTGAAAGATGCTCAATTATCTGTAATTCTCAGAATTTGCTTTCATTACATCACTGTTTCATTTCTGTCATGAAGACATACACTTAAAAAAAGGGACAAGTAATCTTCTAATCTTATCACAGATCTTTGCCCCCATTTAAGCTTTTACCTAGACTGTTAGCTGTAAAGTTAAGTGACAAAAATGTAGCACTAGATTGCAATCCAACCTAAGAAGCAAATCATTTTTGGAGTGCCTTCCAGGTAGGAGAGGAGGAGGAGGAGAAATTATTTAACCCTATGTATTTACTTGCTTCTTTACAACTTCACAGACTTGCTAATTGGAAACGGAATAGGGAAAATGCATTTATTGGTAGCTCTGCTCTTTGCAAAGAATTTTGGCTGCTGATATCCTTTGGTGTAACCCATTATTTAGCATGGATTTCCAGATTAACATTTCAAAAAGTTACAAAGCGCTAAAAAGTAAATGTTGTTTTCACAAAAATCCCTATCTAGGGTAATGAGCCAAAGAACACAGGACAGCACTCAGGCCTCAACATGCTCAATATATTAACACAACTCTTTAGTGCTTATGCGTATTTCACTGTGTTCACATATATTATTTTAAATGCAACAATAAATTATGATTGCCAAGAAATCTGTCAGGTTCTTGGAGAAATCTACAGAATGTATGTACAGTCCTTTCAAATGACATAATTATAAGGAAATCTGGATTCTAACAGACTATTTATATGTAGATGGAACTTTGTTATCAAATCAAGGGAAGCCATGCTTTGTGTGCTGCACACTGTTAGCCACGTATTTCTGCAGGGAGAATATTAAATTAATCAAAAGAAATGACTGACCAAAATAACTGATGGCTGTTATATATAATAGATGTGATGAGATGCAGAGAAAGCAAGTGAGCCCAGGTGTTCATACATGCAGCTTCTAAAACTGCATTAAGACCATGAAAATCAGTTAAATTGCTTGTAGAAAATCTATTTGTTCAAAGTAGGATCAGAACTTGCTCAAAAAAGTCATCCTTTGATCATATCCATGTCTAATGTCAAGGCTGTAATTTCACACTACAGCATCTTTGCCAATAATGTAAATGCAAGCAATCCCAAGTCTTACGCCAGCAACACAGTATGTGCTGATACAGCTGTTTGGAGGTAAATGCTGTAAACTGCATCACTGCCAACAAGAACAGTGAAAAGTAACCCCTAAAAAGGGCAGATTTTTGACCCAAGTGGACTCATAAGGTGGTTTGTAACATGGCCACAAAAACCTGTGTTGATGGAGCTGATAGGTGAAAATGAAGAGCTAACGATAGATGGGGTTTCTTAGGCCAGTTTCATCACCAAGACCAGTGCATTATAAAACTTGGTCCCAAGTGAGCCACCAAAGTAGATTCTCCAACTCTTTTACTAAGGACTGTAGCAAAGGAATAAAGAACTTTTATAAATATGAGATGTGAAACTTATTTCAGTAGCAATGCAAAGCACTCAGACTACTACCGGCTTCATCCAAAACTGTGAGGACAGTGATAATTCATATGCTGCATCTAGTAATTTTTCCAGGTTGGTATCATAGCCATACACGTTGTAAACTAAGTTTTGGATCCCATGAGAAAAATTCAGAAGTATCACTTCTGGGATATACAGTATCAGATCATGAAATGCTGGTGGATGAATTAATGGAAAAATATGAATGGAGCATACATTTAGGCAGAACAATTAGCTAGAACAAAAAATACCTGGGCACTTTGTGAACTCAAGGATCTCAGGTCAAGGATGAGGAAGACTTCTTTTTCAGAAGCACGGACAATGCTTCAAACACAATTTATCCAAAGCAGCTTTTCTAGGCTGTCCAAAACAGTTGTTCTGGACTTGATTAAAAAACCTGCTTACCACAGAGAAAATAAAACAGTGTTTCGTCATCTGAGCCTAACCTTTACAGGTTACAGAAGAATATACTCTACCACTAAGAGGAGGCTTAGCTTCTGAATACCCTATGAGAACCATCTTTTTTTTCCTTTTACAAATTCCCCAAGACATCATCCATTCAGCTTCCAGTCACTTACACAAAATTAAGGGCACAGAACACAGTACTACTGGTCAATGAAGAACGGCAAAAATTGTCTTCCCAAAATCTGTGTGTGAGGGAGAAGCCAGACATTACATTGTGAAAGAACACTGTAAGTCACACTCCCTTCTCTATCAAATGACATTTACTTCTTTATGGTCTGTGAAAAAAGCCACATATTTTAACACCGTTCATACAAAAACACTAATAGAAGACAGGGAGGCTGAAAGCAAGCTCTCGTTTTCTGACATACGGTCAAGAGTTCCACCCTAACCTGCTGACCTTTGTTAGCTTCCCAACTTCCCACAACAGCATCCTAGGAAAAATACTGCTCCAAACCACCTGCATCTAAAATACCCTTTATTCTACAGAATCAACAGAGGACAATAAATACCCTGTGTAACTGATGAGGTGTTTTGTGACTGGAAATGTATCCAGGTCCAAGCAGAGCATTCCATACAAAGCGGCAGCTCTCTCGCCATTAGAGACATGAGACCTTTGCTTCATTTCGTGTCAGAGGGCAAAAGGAAGAGAAGGCAGCAAAACCATTAATGAGCTCCTCTGCGAGGTAAGCATCAATTTGCTGCTCCTCATAACATCACCACAGAGAAAAAAACAACCAACATAACCTCATACCAAACAGCCAGACTTCAGTGTCAACTAAGTTACAAGATACACCTTAGAAAATACACGATTCTTGTTCTCTCATGGATTCTTAATCACACAGGTTATAGCTGTGATCTATGGAAAAATGAAAGAACACTAGGGAAAAGCAAGTATGCTGTTTAACCAAAATACTGTATGTTGTTAAGCACTCAGATAATTTTGCTTTAAGAAAATTACTTCAGGACATAAACAAAAATGTACAGTCAATCATTGTATCTAATCAAACAATTATATTAAGGTTCAATTTACAAAAGGTTAACAAATAATTAATAGCTGCTTTAATAAATAGGTGTTTACTTCTCATCTATTATCAGTCCAACAGATAGCTTCTAACTGTCTATAGTACTTTCTACACATGTGCTTATAACCCTCCCTAACATATATTACACATTTCTCTAACATGAATTACAACATCTAGAAACCATTTATTAACCCTTCATAAAATTCTAAATAAACCTTAATATGAAGCATGACTAACTTTATACTATTTCAGCCCCATACTCCAGGACACATCAAATACTAGCTCTTTCAAGTTTTTATTTAAAATTCTACATTTTAGTTGGGAGCAACATCACTAGACACAGAATCACAAATGCCTACGGTGTCTTATCCAACACACTGCAGACACAAGTAGTGAAACGAAAATGGTGGGGGAAGATCACAGGAAACAGTTCAGGTTCTTCCAAAAGAAATGTCCTGGCTTTTTTGTTGGAACAAACATTGATACCATGACAACAGAATCAGAGAGCAAAAATACCAGAGTCTGCTGTAATTCAAGATACTGTTTTTCCTTCTTTTTAGAAACAAAAAAAACCCCACAATACATTATAATATAAATAAATAAAACAGAAAACAGAAAGGTAAATTCCAAAACCCACCACAAGGATCTTAAAAAAAGGGAACAGCCAACTATTTCTTGGATGCAGCCTAAACTTCTCTTACCTGCAAATTTTCAATATACTTAGAAGTCTTATTTAGTGTATCAGACTTAGGGAACAAGATGTATTATATTTGGGTCTCCTTTTTTTCCATCCAGTATTTTCTTCAAACCCCCACCTTAGTTTTTTCCATCAAATTGCCTGCTGTTGGTTTAACAAAGTTCAGTTCAGACTTATGCTTTTCCTTCACTTTCAGAGCCTCTGCCTTCATTCTCACAGTCCTCCACAAGGTCTTCACACTCCTGTGTCTTCTCTTCCTCCTCCTCCTCATCTCCAAAAGTCTCTTCTTGCATTGTAGTAAAAGTGAAAGACCTGGCAGCAACTTGTGCAGCCAGGCCAGATGTGAAGTTTAAATCTGTTGATATGTGGAGCTGGGCCAGCCTATGCTTGATTTTTGAATGTAATTCATCCTTAGAAAGAGACTGTGAAACCTCTGCTCCATCCATATTGCTTGGCTTCAGTTCTTCAACTTCCTCTTTATGCTGATAACACACTCTTTCTTCAGCCCCTGTAGAAATACCTTCATCAGCAGTACTGTCTTTGGTTTTCTCCATCTCAGGATCTTCATACAAATATTCTGTCCTGCTTTTATCAGTAGCATTCATTTTTGGATTAGAGTCTTTTTCTTCAGATTGATCACAATTTTGGCTGCAGTCCTGCTTTTCTGGATCTGAATTTGTATGTGATTCCAAATTATTTAGTAGCTTCAGTGGTTCTACAGGAGACAAGGGTTTCACTGCAGCTTAGAAAGGGGGAAAAAAAAATAAATGATAACTAAAAGCAAGCTGCTATATATAAATAATTTATTTGTGTCTGAAAAGATGGAAGACTGTAAGGGTCAAAATGGCTTAAAAAAAAAACCCAAAGCAACAAAAACCACAATCAAACAAAACTTAAAATAAAACAGTGTTTTCTAATCACAAAGCTGAAGTGAAATGTGATAGCTACATGTTGTAACTACTCCTTAAAATCCATGATGTAAAGAGACAGCACAAAATTGATGATGCTTAAAACCGGCATCAAACACAATGTTGAAATCAAAACCAAGTAAAACTACTGCACTGTATACAGATTTGAACTGTCTTAATTTTAAACAACAGTTTACCTAATCCGGTCAAGACAGCTGGTACAATGAAAAAGTCCTTATAGGCAATATCTGATCTCATACACCACAACATATAAATACAACACGTATTCATACAGTCAGGTAAGGTGTCCTCACAAATAAAGTGTGGTTTAATTTAGCCTCTCTTGAAGTTAGTAGCAGCAGCGAGTCCCATTGCCAGCAACGGGATGCTTGCCAAGAAGTCTCTCCTCCCAGTGTTAAGGGTTAGTATAACTTGGTACAATCACTTCTTGAAGAACAGACGTCTTTCTTTTTAAGAAAACAATATAATGTCCATTTCCAAGTAACAGATTCCCTAAACTGCAGTAGCTCCATTAGAGTAGCAGCACGAACATAAATGAGAGCGGCAACAGCAGATTCCCAAGTAGCATTTCCCTTTCTAATTCCATTCTGACTTTACCCCTGTAAGCAGAGATGAAAATAACTCTGGGAAATACACAAACTTTTCATGGGAAACAAAATTTACAGTATTAGGATTTTTCCATCGCATCCTATTTCAGTAATATTTACTTTATCTAGCTGAAGGCAGGCGCATCATTATGGCTGTCACATTGATAATTATTGTCATTAGCACACTGAAAGACTGTGGCTTCAAATTTGTACCACATTTTTTTTTAAAACCTTATATACCGAAGGAGCACTGCACCAGACTCATCTCAATTGTTAACAGAGTTCTTTCCCCACCTTGTAAAAAACACGCTCCTGCTTATTTCTGCCCATTTGCTTGAAGAAGCAGGAATATGCACAGTAATCTTATCATTTGGGAGCACACTTGTTGCCTACATCCACTAAGGAATACTTCCAAAGCCAAAATTTCTCAAAAAATAAATAGATACTTCAGATTGGTAGCTGGCCAATTTGCTGAGTTAATTAGTTAATAAGCAAGGTGGAATTAATGAGTTCACAGAGTGTAGCTTTCCAAATATGAGAAACATCTGTATAAGAACAGTTGTATGGCCAAGGTGAGAGAAGGGGAGACAGCTGGGTACAGTGCAACCACTGCCAGAATGAACTTGTTTTGGGGAAGAGGTTAGAAAGGCTAGAAGTGATTTTGCACCAGAAGAAAGTTGTTTAACAACAGTTGACAAATGAAAAACAAAGCTACTGACAACTTCACAGACCTCTTCGAAAGCAATTCCATTTTATTGGCTCAACAGGATGCCAAAGGACCAAAAATATAAGATCACCTACACTCTCATAAATTACTTACTGCCTAGACTGTAAGCAGTATTACCATGGTGCTGGGCTGGGCAAATTTGCTTTAGTCTGGTGCTCTGCTAAGATTATGTTTTTCTTCTGGAATCCAACCTATCATCTCCAGTTGACTTCATGCTGCATTCTTCAGACATATCAACTTGTCTGGAGCTGGCCCCTTTTATGTGGAAACCTTCACCAGCTCCTCCTTCAACAAACCAAAACTCCTAACAAATCAGAAGGGCTTGCTGGGTGCCTGGACTAACAGATTAAAGCCTTTGAATATTTCAGGATCTTTTTTCACAATAATCACAAGTTAAGAGAACACAGGATTTCTGTAATATGATTGTCCTGCAAAAGCAAGATTTGAGAGGGCTGTGGAACAGTGTGATATCACGGCCATCTGTTGGCTTGGGTCAATGCAGACAAGAATATGAACCTTTCTGGGTTTAAATCTTCAAGATAAAGCAAGACACAATTGTGGAAAGCACAGCTCACAAAAATGCTTCTTTAAGGAATGACTTGTGCATATGGATAAAGTCTGCAGCAAGTAATACGGCAGGGTCCATTATGTCATATTTAACTGACTTGTATTTCTTTTGAAGACATACTGACAAAATTCCTTAAAAAACAGTAGAAGATGTTACGTCTGCTGTCCATATCAGTCTGTCAGATTAGACACACAGAGTCTCTGAGCCAGAAGGAGACAATATGAATTACTTTCATGAACTGCCCACATGTTTTCTAGTTTTGTACAGGATGGAAGTAATCAGTGATTAGTCCTAGGCAGCTGGAGGAAATCTTACCTTCCTCGCTCCCCATAACTGAATCTCTAATCCTAAAACAATGTAGTATCTATACATAGAAAGGAAAGGAACCAATGTAAGCCCCAAAGGCTTTCAGGTGAACAGTTACTGAAGATTACAGGAGTCAGCTGGCTCTTTCCAGCTATGGTCACAAATGGCCTGAGGATATACGGATGTGGACAGGTATCTGGTGCTAACCTAGATAAGGAAAGTTCCTGTGCAAGCTCTCCTGACAAGAACTCTTTCTGCAGCAGCCACTAGATCTCTCAAGACTTGAACTGGGGGTAGGATTCCTTCCTTCTCCCTTTAGCAGGAAAGATACGAAGACTTGAAGAGATTTATGTGAAGAGTTGTGTGGTGTCACATCTAATATCAGAATGATAATACAGAAATCATACTCTTGAGCTGACTCTGATGCAATCTGATATCTTAGGGGTTTTTTAACTCAACTAGAAGAGAAGTCAATACCAATGATCAACTGATTTACTGTAGTTGTAGCTAAATGGACATAAAGAAGAAAGTTGTGAAGAACAGATATTTTTGTGGGTTTGATGTCAAAAGAAACAATCTCATAAATAGCTCTGTTACTGCGTGTTCCCACTAAATTATTGAAGGACACAATCCATGGTCTCTTTTTCCGGTACACACTGGCAGAGTCAGAATCCTTGAATATGTTGCCAGACTTGACAGTTGCTTTTCATAACACAGAATGTGAAATTTTTTAGAGGGCTTTTCCTAATCCATGTTTCAGAGAAAGGAATAAAAATGGGGAAAAGAAGGGAAAATGGAAAAGACAAACTACTGCCAATTTTAAAGATAATAAATCAAACAGCTCAAGCAGTGAAAGGAATCAAGTTGTATCCAGCCTTATTGCTGGAACAGAGACAGACTGTCTGGTTGAAGCAGGAGAAATTTTCATATTCCTGTCTTCAAATGCAAGTGGATGGAGCTACCCAGCATCCCTCAGAGTTAGTAAAGGTTAGTAGGCTAGTTTGGAAGAACTCTTCTTGTTAGGTGTTTTTCCATTGTTTGTTTGTTTGTTTGTTTTTTAACATATAGCATATACACACTCTCTCGTAGAAACAAAAGCCAGTCTTACTCTTTTATGAGCCTTTAATATTTCAAAGTCTAGCGCTTCACTTTAACCTATATATTTTTGCAAGTCTGGGATAATTTCTGATGGTTTCTTTAAATTCTGAGAAGTAATTTATTTATGCACACTCACTAAAATTCACATTTATTGGAAAGCCATGAAAGAAAGTCAGTTCAGTTTGCGTGGTTTATAGCCTGACAGTTCCCTTTATGATGTCTTAATATTTTGTGTGTTGAATATTTTAGCTCAGTATTTTGTTTTGAGCCAAATTCCCATTTCTTGGAGTCCTTTTCAATAGATAATGAAATGATTGCTACAAGTGATATAAAGAGATGGAATAGCAAACTAAGACCACATAGCTCTATCAAAGACATTACTATAGCTAAGCACTGTCTGAATTCCAACATAGTCAGAAGTTGATGGCAAACAGACACCTACTCTGTCTTAGAAATAAATTAATTTTCAAAAGTAATGCTTACCATGGTCGCTGAATAGCAGCTGTTTCCATTTCTGCCTTTCTATTTCTGACGCTTTAAATCCCAGTACAGATTTCAACTCTTGTAACACCCTTTTAGATTCTTGTCTCTCTCGTTCTTGTCTCTCTCTTTCTTCCTGGGAAAAGCAGTAAAAATCTTCCCTTTTGTATTCATTCTCGGTATCTGAATAATCAACATATGCTTCCAGTTCCTAAAGAAAGAAAGAAAATTTTGATCTTCACTGTTAGTGTAGACCCTGTCCTACAATTTGATGCACAGTCAAGTGATCTCAGCACAAGCCAACCACAGTAATAGGATGGAGCCCTGTTTTAACAGAGCCAGTGGATCTGACATTGCTCTCAGTTATATTTGTATAATTTTGGAGCAAGTCCACTCATTGGAAGTTAACATTACTGCAGTCACCTAAGATTTACTTTCATACACAAATATGATTAAGTGATACACCTTGAAAATGGGAGTCCATTTCCCCATAATTACAGATGAAAATAAGCAATACCAATCCTGGTTTCTTTTTTTTTTTTTTTTTTTTTTAATTTACACTGTAAGCGAATTGTTCCTCAGTCAGGCATCTTGCTAATTAATTTATGTAAATCCCTATGAAGAGGATGTTGAGAATAGCAAACTCCTCCGATTTTAACTCAATTGGCTTACAATCATGAAAATGCAGAGCTTCATCTGTGTTATAACAGACAGCCAGTAAAGTTAATAGTCCCAGCTCTTTGATATGGAAAAAAATCTAGAAAGAATATATGTGAGGTAGGCTTGGGAGAAGGCAAGGGAGGGACTGTGCAGAACACAGGTGTTCAATTTGTTTTCAGAATGCATCTACCACTCAGTTCTGGGATGGAGGAGGCCAGCCCCTCTTCAAGACAGCCCAACCATCACACATGAGTTCCCCAAACACCACAAAACTGTTCAGTGTCACAGTCTGTTTTAGGTATCCAAAAATGCAGAGATTATTCAAACTGAAGACAGGCTGGTTTGTTCTGGAACTTGTCACTTTTGCAGCTGCAACAATTCATCTAACAATATGCAAGTAGGACTCTATCTTATATACTGCCTTTTAGCAATCCACAGTTTTTTTCTGCATTACTCTGACTTGTGTTGCTGCTCTCCTTTTGTCACTTTCTTCTAATGATATATAATGGTGAAATGGTGAATGCTACTACTCTTTTTTCCAGGGTGGGGAATACCTCTCCATGAGACAGCAAAAGGAATATACATAATCTTTTTCTGTAAGTCCAATTATGAAATGGCACTGGCTACCTACTTGATCTGTCTTGGCAAGACGTCACTGCACAAGCAACTGAAAAAGGAATGGATGCAGCAAACAAACCCCAGTTATTATTTTGAAATGGTCCTATTTTTTTTTACCTGCTCTTCAGGGATTGGATCTTTGTTTTCTATGTATATGGCAGGCTGTGTTAAAGGTACGGTAGTACGCTGTAGGTTGTCACAGGAAACTTCAATTTTGCCTTTAGGGGGAAAGAAGAAAAGGGATTAAAAAAAAAGAAAAAAAATTGAGTGTTGAATGATGTTTTTGACTCACTCAGGCGGGGTCCAGGCATTTTCATTAGGCAGGGTTGGCACACATGAAAAAAATGATGAGAAGGCTGGTCAGAATACATTGAAACACTGTGTTAGAGAGAGCACCTGAATAACTTAGCTAATTTTGATATAAATTGGGTCTGATGAAACTCATCTTGAAATAATTCAACTTAGAAATCTCAAAATTTTTATAGACTTTGAAAACCTGAAGATTGCAAAATAAATTGGTAAAATCAGAAAAGAGACTTGGTGCCCAAGTTTAAAAAGAGAAGTAAAATAGTAACATTGTAGGCAAATCAGGTTCAAATCATTGGAAAATATTGGAAGAAATAATCAAGCATAATTTACAGGAAGCTATTTGGAAGGTAGCAAGGAGATAAGTGACGGCCAACGTGCCTTTGTTGAGAACTGAAGATGTCAATTCACTCCAATTTCAATTTCTAATGCAGTAAGAGGTCTTACGAACAGAAAGAAGCCAAAGACATTCTGCATTTTGTTTTCAGTATGGCTTTTGACACGGTGTCATGACATACCCATAAGCAAAATCCGTGGGCCAGGAGAAGTTGCTATCGGGTGCATAGAACAGTCTCTTGGATAATCAGTGTAGTTACCATTTTCAGACAGGAACAATATACTGAATGAGAATTTGTCTCAAGTCCAATACTCTTTAATATTTCCAATGGGTGAAAGAAAAGTGTTTCAGCCCATTAAATCTGATAACATTGGCATAATCTGCAAGGATATTGAAGAGCACAATTAGAATCAAAAATAATAGTGGAAAATCAGAGATACAGCCCAGGAAGAACTGGATTTCAGATAGAGCAGTATGGTGACAGTGGCTGCCAATTTTTGTGCTTTGGAATAGTCAAATGCACAAATATATGACAACTGACTGGGCAGCACTGCTGAGAAAAAGATATGAGGAGCCTAGCAGCCAACTGTGCCCCGCTGCAAGCAAAAAGCCAAACTACATACTAGTACATATAAACAGCAGCGCTGACTGCTAGACACATGAAATTACATTTCTACTCTGGCACTGATCAGGCTGTGGATGGAACACAGTGCCCTGTCTGGGGCTCCTTCATTCAATAATGTTGTGGACCAACTAGAGGGAGTCTGCAGGAAAATGGTAGAAATGATCAGAGGACTAAATAAAGTCCATCAGGGAAGAGTTAAAGGATACACAGTCATGTAGACAAGACAGAAAGAAACATATTAGCTGTCTTCAAAAAATGTAAGAGCTATAAAGAGGAAATGGATTTCCATTGTGGGTAGATCAAAAGTACTGATTGCAGCAAGAGATATTTATATTCAGTAATAACTCTCCACTGGTAATGGGGTTAAGTGCTGGAATAGATGCCTGGAAATACTGTAAAATGTCTCTAAAGAGAGGTTTTTTGGAACAGGTAGACAACATTTACTCACAAACACTAATTTACCCTTGAGAAGGGAAATGGGCTAGATGACCTCACCAATCCCCACCTATCCTTATTTTCAATTTCTAATCTATACATTGAACACTTAGGGATGGTATTCTGAAAGTAGGCAGTTCACATTAATGACAATTTTAGTTGTGCTCAGTTACTTGCTTTTGTGAACAAGGAAAGTATGTAATTCCTTAGTTGCCTGGGCTGAGCTAAAGATTTGACATTTCAGAAGTATTTAAATGCAAAGTTTAAAAGAAAGGTGAAGCATGTAGTGAAATTTGAAGCAAGTGGAAAATTGACATATTTATCCCCCTTGTCCATTGCATAACTCTGCATTGTAAAACATTTTAATAATAATAATGAAAGCAACAATAGAAACATGGTCCTGAAGGTATGAGGACAAATTTGGAAGAGTATATGGAAGTTAACAATTAAAAGCTTGTCTTCCCAAATCAGAGGAGTAAAACAGCTGCTCTAATATGTACAGCTGCTCTGTTTGCCACCTATATGGGATGATGACATTGCTAAGGATACGCTTCAAGATCATGAATTCACAGTGTTTCACTAAAACTGCTCCTGCTTTAGTTCATCTCCAGTGATCAAAGGACTGCAAGATCCAGGAGCTTGCAGCAGAGTACTTATGGCCTTGCTCTTACAATATCTTAAAAAGTTGTATACATTTGCAAAGAGACGGTTTAAAAGGAAAGAAAATTGAATTTAAACACTTTGAGGGATATTATTTCAAAGATCATTAAAACAACACTGTAACTAGCCATAAAGAGCATCCCATTCTGTAAAATTAGAAGCAGATTACTACATGCTTAAATTGTCGAGGCTTTAAGCGGTAAATCAGTTATATCAGTGACGAAAAAAGGTGAAATAATAAAGAGAAGATGACTGAAAGTCTAGAATCAGCTCATTTTGGAAATTAGCAAAGATCTACATGTAGATCAATGATAGATAAGTCTTTCATTGCCCAGTGAATTTAAGTAGAGTTGAACTCCCCTCAAGGTGCTAAAGCCCCACTTGCTCTCAGGCTGTTCTCTATCTGATGGGATCAGTGACTAATGGCACTGGTTCTAGAAATACACTAAGTCCTGTAAACAAAGAGGCCAAACGGCATCCACTAAAATAACCACATACTATAATATATGCTAGTATCACCACTCATGAAATGCTGATGGGAGTGTATGAATGTTCAATCAGATAGACTTAAAGGCTTTGCTTTGACAAGAGTTTGACACAATGAACTTTTAACGTAGCTGTAAGAAACCTGCTTTGACACAGAATGATTTAGAGCAAGAAGTATGTAGTGCTTGCTGAAGGAGACTCATCTGTTTATACAGAAAACAACTAAAGATACGCAAAACTGCTCTGAAAATAAGTGGTAGGCAGCTACACGGGATGCCACAACTAGGATAACCCACAGTTCAAAACAGCTCCTTCGTGGTTGGAAACTTTCAACTCCTGCTTCAACAACAGCACTCATCAGCACCTGCTTCAACCATCCAGCACAGATGCTGGGTGGACCAGTATGTTCCCAGTTTTCTCCCCTCTGTGGAGCAACACAGGCCCTTTGCTGCTGCAGCTGCTGAGCTGACTTCTACTTCTCATGGAAGGAGACCTTCCCGTGCTGAGAGCAGTAGGAACCAAGAAGAATAAGCAAAGATACGTTTTTGCTTAGTATATAAACATGGTAAGAACGAAACCCAAACAAACAGTAAATTTAAATACTGGATACATTTTGTATTTACAGATGAAGAAGCAAAAAAGACTTATTTTGTTTAAATACTAAGCACAATTATGAAATACGGCTGAACGTATTTAACGAATATATATAGCTTTTATGCAATGAAATATTTCCTCTCAAAACTGGGTCTAAGCCATCACAAACAGCTGCCTCTTCAACAGTGTTCATAACTGACATCGAAAATGGTATTCCCACTGCTCTACTGGTTGAACTAATTAGTTGAACTAAACATGAATTGCAGCAAAAGTGCTGGTCATCCACTTAGACACAATGTTTTACCACCACGGGCTTCTCGCTACGGCTCTTGTCAAAAAATTCATTTGGTTTAGGATAATAGTGCATAAAGACAAAAGAAAGATGTGCTTAGTTGCTATATTATTTCAGCAGGAAGGTATCTTCTTCCAAAGAGATTTCAGGAAGCATTAAAAAAACTCCAAGATAATTTAATGAAGTAATTCACATAATCACGACCAACAGACCAGCTGTTAAGATTTGTAGAAAGCCAGCAGAAAAATTAGACTTGATTTCACACACAGCTTGAAAAGATCAACTCTGGACTGTTTAGAAATATATCAGGAAAGTCAAATGTAGTCAGATAAAAATAGTTTTCAATGACCAGCATAATTTAACAGTAGCTCCTGTGGAGTAATTCAGTAAAGTTGTTGCAAAGTAGAAATTCAACCCCAGCACATTTCCAGGCAAGTCACTGGGCAAAAGTGAAAGTGAAGGATTTTTTAATTTTTTATTTCCCACGCAATCCCTCCCTTCCAGATCACACACTAGGTTATTTTTGTACTGAACTTTAAATGGAAGCAAGTTATAATAAAAGTGCCTGCTGTGATATTTACACACAAAATAAAAATAAAACTAAAATAACTAAAAATACTATGGCATGCAGTTGAGAAAGAACATTTAAGGAAAGGAAAAAAAAAAGATCAGTGGAACTGCTGCTTGTCGAGGGCATCAGCAAAACACAACAGGCTAGTACATTCAAATGTATCAGACTACATCTAATATCCTCATAGGTTGTTTTATGCAGCACTGAGAGGGAAGTTGTAAGACTAGGCTATCAGGCAAAGTACATACCAATTTTGTTATACCATGTCTGGACCCGCACAAAGCCTGCATTAGGCCTCCCAGTGCTCCCAGTTCAGATGGAAGCATGAGCAAGGTCAGCTTGCACACCTCTAGGCCCACAGCAATATTCATCCATCTACTGGATATCCCACCCACATATCATTAAGAGCTTAGCTCACTACAAATTTGAATTTCTGCAGGTAACTTGCTGATACCCCAAGTCATAATTTTCCTAATCCAGTCTCCATTACCAGCATTTTTCAGATGCTGAGCTATGCCTTCCTAGGACAGTAAAAGAGCTCCTGGAAAAAAAGAAATATTAGAAATGATGGGTTCAACTCCATGTCAGGAGAGCCTAAGTTCACTTGCATTATTTAAGCCAGTTGTGATTCACAAGGAGAACAGCATGGGTAGTACAGGTCACTAAGGAGAGGGACATAGGCAAAAGGTTGGGATATGGGCTCAGTATGACTTTTAAGCATACAGAAGATTATATCACTCTCTCTTAGAGAGCAGGTAAACAGATATTATATGCTCAACACATTCTCTACAATTTAAAATGTTCCAGGAAATGTTGTCAAGAAAGTTTCATGACAATGCCATTGCCATTTCAATTAACTACACAATTTTTATGCAATAAGTAAATGAAAATCTGAGGGATGTTTCATCAAAATCCTACTCCTTCACATGTGATTCACCAATTCAAGGCAAAAACCCACCATCAGTCTACACCTGGAAATGTAACAGTCTGAATCCACAGGTCTAACAGGCTGAGTTAACACATTTACATTTTTTGCTGAAACAAAAGCCTCAAGGTCATCACAATGAAAAAGTTTGACATGTGTATATTGTGACATATGACATATGTTTTTCTAAGTGTATGGTTGTTAGACCTTCTTCAGTTAAAATTCTGATACACAGGCTGAACGTTGTCTTTGATCCATTTGACTACTCCATCTCTAGAGTGTATCCCATTAGTTGCTAATTTAATGCCCCCCATTTACCTTTTTTATTTGGGTTTCTTCCACCCATTCTTTCCACCTGAGAAATGGCTTCTTCCCAGCAGCTGTTGCTTGCCTGGATATGAGGCTGAATATACTTTAGTTTTTGTTCCAGAACCTGATGGGCTTCTATTGTCAACTCAGGTGTCTCCTTAGTGCTAACAAGTTTTTCAAGTTCGTCCTCAAGAATTATTACCCTAAGTGATGAGGAGATGAACAGAAATAAGTAATAATAAATATCTGAATTCACCATTCCTTCAAGTATTTAATTTAATATCTTGTTATTTTCTTCAAGCTTTAAGAATCTAACTCAGGAACTCCTCAAAAATGCCCCAAAATTTAAAAAATAAGATCCTTTTCTCCACTTCAAGGTACATTGCTCACCTGCACGCATTATAGTAATTTTTATACGTAAGATTAAAGGAGTAGGACAGTTCCAGCTATTTCACCAAGACAATGATGAACCTTTAAAAATATTTACTATGTAGTTACTCTGAGCTGAACTTTCTTATAAAGCATCTGGTACATTGCAAAATCGATGAAAGCTAAGTACGTTTTCAGATTTTTTTCAAGGGAGTGACAAAAGTGAGGCAAGATACACTGCTTAGCTTTGAATTTTCACCAGATACTTAAAGAATAACTGAGAAGCAATATCAGATTCCACAGTGAACCAAGGATCTTTGACCCCATAATATGTGAAGATATGCCCATGATTGCAATGACTATACCTATCTGCCTTTTTTAGTTCTACTCTGGGACACAAGCTGACAACCCAGAGAACTCAAGTCTGAAACCTTCTTCCTACAGGCATATTCCCTTAATTAATGTGTAAACTTACTCATTGAGCAGTGCCTTGAGATGAAGCTGCAAGCTGCGTACCGCTGTCTGAAGACTGTTCAGCTCTCTCGACTTCTGCTTTGTTCTGGTTGGCCATTCAAAACCCGACTGATGCTGAGTTTCAAAGTACCGATAAAACTCATAGCTTCGCTTAAGCTCCTCTAGGCAGGCAGCGTGTGTATGAGGTAGGCCTTGAGTCACATCAGACAAGATATGATGAGGCAGCCGCTCAGGGGAGACCAAGGGCTTGGGGGACGCGTTGGCTGGGGAGAGGAGGAGCACTAGCCTCCTGAAGAATTCTGAACTCTGCCCTACCCAGAGCTGAAAGAGGACCTGCAAAACAGAGTAGGGTTAGTTCTGTGCACCTGGAAAGACAGCCAGCCTCCAAAGTAAATGTACAGATACACCATGGGAAAACATTCCTCGGCTAGCAACAGGAAGTTTGAAAAACTGCGAAAATCTGCTGAACGTTTTGAAGGGTATCCCAGAGCATGTGGGGTTTGGGTCTTGTGAACCTTAGGTAACTGTTAATTCTTTGATGAAGGGTATTATATGCAATCATGCTTAGAAGGTTGTCAGAGGCCTAAAAACTCATATTCTCATCAGGCAGTTTCATTATTTGCTATAATCTCCACATACCCTACAGCTCATACAGGGCTGCCAAAATTCCAGTGGCAGCAAAGACATTTTTTCCTTTCTAATGCCAAGCTATCATTTCTACGATCTACTTACTACTACACTGCCCCACACCCAACCTTGAAACACGAGTCTAATTGCACTGTACTTCAACAAAAAACATTCTACATCTGAAGAAAACTGAGCTGCTAACTTCATTTTTTTTTTTTCAGACAAAGTGAGAAATTTCAGCAATACCACTAAGGAGGGAAAGGCTTGTAAGAAATTAATTGATTCCCAGTGTTATATATGGTACAAAAGAGGTCAGTCCATCTGGGAGCAAGGAAACCCACAATTTTAATTTCTTGAGAACTTCCACTTCCAATGAAATGAACTGTTTTCTTACTTTAGAGAAAAATGTTGGGTCTGTAGACCGTGACAAAACAGTAGCATCTTATATCTCTAAAATGAAAAGGAAAGGTTGTGACACTTTTCTCTGCAATACTGCCCTTTATTAAAAGGGATTAACTGTAGGTGACTATGAGGTGGAGTCTGAAATCTGTTCACAAGCATTGCAGACCGAGGAAGACAAAGTAATTACTCATCATGGTTTTTTTCCACCCCTCCTTCAGCTACAGAATAGGACTAACAACGTACTTGTTCTGAGATTTTGGACCTGCAGGAATTGAAAGAATGTATTTACATCTTTGTACTCATACTACTATGGACAAGTAGCAGTTTTTTCCAGTGTGCAAACAATCAACAGCAAAACATTCAGAATAGTAACACAAACAAATGCCTTCAGATACATGTGGTCTGATATAACCCAAGGGCATATCAAAAATACTTGGATGCAAACTGATAAAATATTCAAAAATAAAAAAATAATTATCAATTTACAAAAGATGGTAACGAGAAGAAAGAACACAGAATGATATGAAATTAATTTGGGGCACACATGCAAGACTGTGATTTGGCTGGGTGCTAAATAAAAAGCAAAAGAATGGGCAGCAATCACCCAAGTGTTCCTGAAGCTGTGGTGCCCTGGACAGAAAGTCAAGAGCTCATGCTAATAAACACAAAAGAAGACCAATCCCTTCCACCAGATATAAGGCAAAAGCAGTGAAAAAGTAGCACACAGAAGTAGTGGACTTTAGGTATTGATAATAATAATCCAAAACCTACCTGAAAAAAGGCACAACTATGAGAGAAAAGGAAATTCCAGATCCATTTAGGATTTCAAATAGCTTACTCTGCCAATGACTTCTGGTGATTTTTACAGACACTTAAACTTCACCCAAAACATCCAACTGGATCCCCTCAGCTTGAATTGGTATTTTTATTTAACCCAACAATTTTCACTCTTTAAATTGGTTTATTTCAAGGACAAGGTAGCCAAAAGACACAGGCTACATTTGTCAAATGGCCTAGACGTCGGCTTGAATGAAGATTAAAATATTAACCAAATCCAGAGACATGTCTATTCTACCTGCATTTTAATATAAAGACAAGTTCTCTCAAATTAAAAAAAACTGAAGAAGACTGCACATAAATCCAGGGCTTGCCACACAAACATGTCCCAAGGTTACTGAAGTATATCTATTTTATTATCTACACAGGAATCTGCTTAAGGACTGATTTATGTTACTTTAGCTCAGTTCAGCTACATCATACCCAGCCTGCATCACTGTCTGTTACGAGTTAACGTAAACTGAGATTTACTAGTTGTGAGCTTAACTGTATCCAGAAAGCATCTGAACCAGTTGAACTAAAACAGATTTCAGTTAGATTACTGCAAATTGCAGGTAAACAAAGACTTAGCTTACAAGCTTGGGGACCTCTGAGTGGCTTCTTGTGCTTAAAAAGGAGTGGGTAAATAAGTGGGCTTGCATGGTTACAATTAGAACTTCAGCTAATGAAAAGGCAAGAAAAAAATCCCCAAAGCTTACATCTGATGTAGCTCTTAGCTTACAACCAATCAGAAAAAGCCTCAAAGCTTAGCAATCACTCTTACTGGTAACATTTACTGTCAGAACAAAAGAAATCAAGGTCTAGGAATTAAGTGAATAAAATGTAACAAGACCCAACCCCACAGAAACACAGAAGTCACATCATAATGGAATTTTCCATTAAAAAAATAATGTTAAAAGGGAACTGCCTTGGCAGAGAACCACTAGAGTGTGGAAGGCTTGCATTCAAATTAGATCTCTTTTCCAAATTGCAAACATTGACTCATGCAAATTAAAAATACCTAACATCTCAAAACAAAATAGATAAAAAGGCCATTATATGGTTGTCATTCTGCTCAGTTAAATGTTTTTCAGAGATCAAAGAACCACACCAGCTCATGGCAGCAGGGGCCCAAGCTTATGATTTCTACTCCTCAGTGTAACTAAATGCAGCTATTCCCTTTGGCGATTACAACTAATTTATATCTTATGATGTCTCTCCTTTTATTCAAGTCAATAGATTAGCTAAAAAAGATGTAAGTACAAATCTGGAAATTATTTTATTCAGCTGGGATCAAGTAAAATCAGAGAGCAAAGAATCATGTTTAAGAAGGAGATTGATCAAGCTGATTATAAAACACTGACTTGAATTCACATGATTTGCAGAAAAAAAAAAAACCATGATGTTGTATTGTGCAAATTCTTTTCAACTATATCTAAAAAGAGATCACCTAAATGCCAGTAAACGTAGAATCAATGGGAGGTATGAGACTGATTACACCTCCCATTCAGTTGACCATGTTACTACGGGCTAGTATGTACAAGCCACAGGTCTTGAGGACAACTAGAAGAGATTTTCACCAGGAGGCTCTGTGGATGTGCCCATCCTTCGAGGAGAAGTTACCTTGAGCGCTGGCAAGCTGAAGCCATCGGTGAGATTGTGTGCCTCCTCTTCAGAGACCTGCTCTTCACTCAGTCCCAGACCCAGCTCCTTAAATGGGACTACACAGATGTAGCTGGTCACGTTGTCACTCTCTGAGTTCAGAGGGTAGGTTTAGCTGGAGTTAAGGTCATTAACAAAGCAGCTTTTGCATTAAACACTCAGAACAGGAAAAATAACCTAGTAAGGTTTCTTATTTCCAGCAACTCATATGAAAGCACACACTTTCCACCCAAACCCACCTGAATCCTGTTTAATTGAATGTTTTGCAATTCTTATTCAGAGTACAAGTTTTAAAGGCTCTCAGAAGGATGACAGATAAGACATTGACAAAATACCTATGTCTAAATGCAAAAACATGAAAAGAAATGAAATAGATTGATTAAAAATCCCTGCATCCCATTCAAGTGAGGAATATATCTTATCTTTAAACATTAAGTTTCCAAGAAGTAGCTCATGTCAATCTTAAACCAGAAATCGTATATTTAACAGATGAAAGAGGAGAACAATTGTGCAATTTTAAGTTTCAAAGGTAGCCTGTGTTATAGACCAAATTCAGGATGATAGGAATTCCCTGCAAGTTCTGTCTGTGGAAGGACTGCTCCGAGACCTCTACAATAACTGCTCTTTGACATTTCAGACAGTACCGTGAAGAACAGGAGCTCCTCGACTGTCATACCATTCATTTTATTGATTACATCGGTGTAAAGTCACCAATGATCTTGGCAGGAACAGCGGTGAACTGTTTCTTGCCAACACTATTCAGCACATTTAAACTCTGAATATGAAAATGTACATTTCTAGTCCTCAGAGATGCTTAAAAAGTAGAAAGCTAGCATGATATAACTGATACCAGAAGACAGATAAAAATACTTCATAGACCAGGCAGAATGTATTTTAGAATAGCACTAATTTTAGGCTAGCCTCATGCTGGGGATGGGGGAGAAGGAACAGTTCAAGATTTCTGCACATTTTGGATAGTTACCCAGTCACAAAATAGTAACATTTGCTTTAAAACAGAAACTTACAACTTATGGTCATAAGCATATTTGTTTCACAGAAATACCTAAAAAATAATATTTGTGAAGCATTCATGAAAATATCACCTTAATTTTCACTATTTTTTTTTCATTTATATTTTGATTTACAAACTGAACACTATCATCTCTTGGGGCATATAAATGTGATTATCAGCACCTGTCTCCTGTCCAACTAATGTGTTTTCTGGGGAAGCTACAAGTCCCATCTGCTTTCACTCCCAAATTTTCCACTCGATAAATCCTCATAGGATTAAACTTGTAATAATAATAAATTGATCAAGAAAATTTTTACCACCTGAGTAGCAGAACATTTCATCAAATAAATTTTCTGTGGCCTAGAAAACAGCAGTAGTAAGTGTCCAGGCTCTAAACAAACAACTACATTCCTCCCTAATTTCTATGCTAAGTCCCAGAAGAAAGAAGCCTATTAAGTGTTCTCCAGAAGTGTGAATGCAGATGAAAACCTGCAATGCAAGTCACTCAGAAACATAATATATTGTTGCCACCAGCTGCTGCCTCACATAAACACGGTGTCTATTCTGAGTTAGCCTGACAGTATGCCCAGCAGATGGAGCACATGGGACGAGGATGGTAACCCCATCAGACTGAAAAGTCAGGTCAAAACCCTTCAGGACCAATTATCTCAGATTAGTTATTGCTTGTTAATCTCTTCCCACAACAAGACATTTCCAACAGCAGAAACACCATAAAAAGCAGTTTTGGACACATATGAATTACTGTCATGCTAAAAAAATTTTCTAGGGAACCTCTCAAATGTGTGGTTTGACCAAAGGAGCCACTTACTGATATTATGTCTCAGCTAGGGATTCCTAGTGGACCCCCACACCTCCTGTCTCGTCCTCCTACTCCCCTTTCTATGTGATAGATGAAAGTATAGAACTGGTCTCATGCCCCCATTAGTTTCCTATGGACTAAACCTTTAGAAAGTTTAAATGTACACACTAACATATACATATACACAAACACCCTTCCTTCATGCTCTTTGCTCTAAAATGCAAGTATTTTTAGTGCTAATGTTTTCTATTAAAGTGAAAATACAGTAACTAACATTAGGTTAGTTAAATTTTTCTGTCTTTGTGAAAATATTTCATTCACCTGTTTAACTTACATCCCTTATTAGCTTGGAAGAAGAGAATGCAAAGCTGCTTAATAATAAACTGTCAAATCCAGACTAAAATATCTGTACAGTGAATGTCTAACCTCTGTCAAGAGGCTGATCTTATTTACCTGTAGAAAAGCAAGAACTCTAAAGTACCCCTGTATGTAACAATTTAATATTCATACTTTGCTCTTCAAGAGTACATTCCTATCTAAAGATCTAACAGGAGGGCCTCACAATACACCTGAGAAATCCAAGATGCTCTTTTATAAAATTCTCATCTGCTCACCCGCAGGAAGGGATGAGCTAAGTAACCATGTGATGAACTGGTTGGTCAAGGAAGAAACATGTCACTGAAAAATGCCCAAGTATCTTTATTCAGAGTTTCCAGCATCAGATTTCTGATTTAGGCTTTTATGACCCAAAGAGGATACTACTTTTTGTTTAGCTTACTGTTTTCTTGTTTGAACTTTCTCTTTCCCAAGTTAAAGGTATGTGTTTTCCTGACATTTCATGAGGCATTAACTACATTTTTACAGAGAAGTAACAATTTTTTCTAGATTTACAAGAAGAAATTTGCAAGTTTCCTTGTGCTCAGTGCATCTCAAAGACACAGAATGCATTTTATATCCATTCCACCATAATGGGGTAAGATATCATTCAGTTTAAAATACTGCTACCCAATGTCTGTTTTTATAACACTGTTTATGCCTTGCCATCAGAGAATGACACCTTACACTTACAACAAAATTCAAGTTTTTTCAGTATATATGGTCCAACACCCAGGTTGTACTTATCAATATAGTTCAATGGAAATGGAGTATCACACTGTCTTATGCCAGGTCAGAATGAGACTATTAATATCATCCAGTAACATAAGGTACAAAATTTCCTCCATCCAGATTGCATGTAATTAAATCACTGAATTAAACATAGATTCCCATGACATAGAACCTACAAGGATCTTAAGTATAAAAATATTAAGCAGCTAGCACACTGACTAAAGTATTGCCTGAGTTACTACATAATTCAGTGGAGTAAAGTGCAGAGATTTGTTGAACTAGTACTGACTGGTCTGAGCAACATCCTGTAAATACTTAACCCAAAATGCCTAATTTCCAGTTTAAGCTTTCAGCCATTGCATCCTGCTATACCCTTATCTTCCAGATTAAAAAAAGAAATACTCTTCTCTTTTCTTCCTTCTGACTTTTTCTTCTATGATTTTGAGCAACATACTCTTGCCAATATGAACAAATCAGAATAAGAACGGCATGAGAAAATGCTGAATTGTTTCTGCAAGTGCCCAACTGTCCCTTCACATAAAATGTAAAGAATAAGACATGCCATCTCATTAAATCACTGGTCGACCAAGTCTGATACAAATGCCTGGTATAAGGCTAAAGTATAATTGTATATTTTTTCTATTTTACATCGGAACAAATTTTAATTAGGAAAGTATAAATTTATTCTACTCACTGAAGGCAGCTGTCTAGCTAAAAAAAATTGCTAAACTTCTAGTTTTACTGAAGCAAGTAATGATAACATATCAAGTTTATGCAGTTCGTACTGCCATGAATAAAACCGTGAATTAGTATTTTTAATTATCTGTAACAGGTTCATCAGACAGATCCCCCTCTAACACATTTGAGATACACATTAACATAAAAGCCTAATTTGCTGCAGATATTTTGGTAGGAGAAATAATACTGACGTTTATAAAATCTACACTTAATGTATTAGCATAGATCAATATATCCCTTAACTTTTAAGATGGTTTTACTAATTTATTTTTACTTTAGCCACTTATTTGTGTCTACAATTAAGATTAATACTTAAATAGCCAGTTTTTAAGACTAAACCCAACAGTTACCAGCTCAGCCCCTCAAGTATATTTTCTTCCTTGTCTGTCTTGAAGTTATCACATAAAGTGGTTTAAGTTCAAAGTTTGGTTTCCAATAGGATTAGTCTTACTGATTCAAAGTGAATCTGAGACATCACAGAAATAATCAAGTACATTAAAGTATATGTTTAGCAACCTACTTAAGATTACAAATAAAAAAATCTCTCAAGGTAGTGTAAAATAAAGCAACAATAAGCTTTGCAGTTTGCATTTGTTAATAAAATGAGATACAAATCTGCAAATATTTTTACGATTAAACATTTCTCTATTTTACTGCATAGTTTTAAAGGTCTAGATTTTGCTTATTTCTGAACACTTTTTTGACTTAACATTACCTACACGCAACCTGTCTTAGAAAATAGTTCCTATAAGAGGCTGTTCAGCTAATTTTGTTAAGCACATATAAATGCATATTTTCAAAGTAGAGAAAACTATCAGTCCTTATTAAGCCATAAATGAGTCAACTGATCTTGCTGCGAATTATTTTTGAAACGGACATTCTGACTTAGTAAGCTTGAAAAATAATTCAGCTAGAGGTATTTCTAATAAGTTCTGAATATATAAGAATGTTTTAAATGAAAGCTTAAATCAAAGTATACCTTGTAGAACATTAGTAAATTTAATACCATTTTCTACAATACTTTAACCATTATATCTAATAATAGGCATGTCTCCGTTCAAGACATGCTTACCCTACCCTTAAGGCAACAATTATCTTCACTGCGTTATAAACTTCCATCTCAGATTTCCAGGTTTATTATAAGTAACAGAGGGAAGAAGGAAAATAGGACATACTTCACATTATCACCCCTTCGTAGGCCTGTATACCACTCAGAAGGCCCAGTCACAGACTAGGAGCTTATTCTGATAACTGGACATCACACAGAAAGGATCTCTGGAGTCAAAGGCTCACCACTGATGTTGAATGACAAGTGTCATGCCTACGTTGCATTATCAACTGAAAACCACCAGCCAAGGAAAACGAACTGTACTATGGAAGTTTATGTCCTGTTTATACATGCACATAAATGTTTCCATGAAATGCACACTCTGTGGTTCAAACCAGTGCCTGTCCTATGTATTTGCTCACACTCTCAAGAAATTACTACTTTCTCATTCTTTAAAGAGAAAAATCGCCCTAAAGAATGATCAGCCATCAGTTAAAATGGAACTAAGATTTGATCTTTAGTGTATTAGCTGGGAACATTCAATTTTTATTGTCCTCAAGACTAGGAGGTGTTTCACATATTAAATTCCTACTGAAAACTGATCCAAGCAAAAATATTTCAGTTTTTCACTTGCCTAAATACAGAGATACATCTGCTCTGCAACAAAAACAGAAAGCAATATCCAGTAAAACAAAAAAATATTTAAACAGTATTAACCAGGGAAAATGGGTTTGGGGGATTTTTAATGTTATTTTCTAACATTCACCCAAATTTTAAATATCTGGAATGTTTCTCTAGTATCTTTAATAAAAGCATTTTGTTTTGCTGTTGCCAGCATAAATCACTAACAGTGCTATAGGATTCATGTCTCTCACAATGCTCAGAAAAAGCAAATTTGGAATAGCAATTCACCAATTCATACTCAAATAACCTAGAGGAGCTAAAGTAGAGAATAACTTCCGATTTTGTGCAAAGCAGAACTTACTAAAAAGTAATGTAAAAGTCAGAATTGGGATCTAATTTCCAGACTTCGGATGGAAGTTCCTTTCCTTTAATTTATCAGCATTCATTTCCTTCAATTTATCACCTCAATCCTTTTATTTAATCTCTCCAGTTCCTCTTCCTCCTTGCTGTAGGCCAGATTTGTGCTAACAATCTGATGATGGACAAGGGCATTGAAGTTGTCACAAGTGGCAGCTGTGAATGTTTTCGACATGAAGAAATCTTTGGCCCCTCCAGCATAAGAGTACTATTTAATTGAACTGGAATCTGTTTGAAAGATGCTCCTTGCCATCAATACCCATGTAACATTGACACATAACATTTCCAGGAATTCACATTATGCAGGGCAAAATTCAAACTAAGGGAACCTGGAACTACCTTAAAGCTGCACCTAATTATCCTGGTAGGGAGGAAGAATCCTTCACTCACCTTCCTTACATTTAAATTCCTTACTTTCAGTTTTCATGCATCACAGATTTGGCCCAGCCTACATCTCAGCTCACATGCTACCACTGCTTTTGCCACTATGTTCTGGACAAATATAATGCTTCTCTTTCCATTTGTCAATGTATCCATATACATGCAACTTCAACAAATTTTTGGCCATTTATTTCTCCTGACCCTTACTACTGTGATACCTTTGTGATAATGTGGTATAATGGTACTTCCATCTTTAAAATATTTCTGAGACAGATATAAACATCGAATTATCCAAAGTAAACAAAACTTTATTTTCTCCCATTCCTTAATTTAAAAGCCATTCCTTAAGTTTAGTAGCGGACAGTCTAATACACACCAATATTCCCTGCACCTGTAACTCTGTGCCATAGCAGCAACCTACACATCTGTCATAACCAACTGCTGGACTGACTTTCTTCATTCTGGCGAATATTTGGGAAGGCCATGTTATCTGATCCTATTTTCAGATCCCTCTTCCTATGTCCTTAGAAGTGATTCTTGATTATTTCCAAGCTAGGTGTCAGCTGCTCTTATCAATGTGTCTGAATAAGAGTATTTTTTTCTTTCTTGACATAGCAAATACACCTTACTCCTCAGAGCTGAGTAAAGTCTTGAGCCCAGAATGAGGACGCCTATCCCCACACAGATTACTATTTTGCAAAGAAATAATAATTTCCTTCAAAGCGAATGCATGCACCTGTAGCTCTGTGTGTGCCTCTGTGTGTGTGTACACATTATCACTCAATATATGCATCCATTTTCCAGGCAAGATATAGTAGTGAAATGTTATGTACCAGGAAGACAAAACAAGTAATTTGTCATGTCAGATTTTCAACACTCACATTGCCACCAGCTTTTGTTTCCCTGCATGTGTTTTTTCAAATCAGGAACATATCTGTTGTATTCTTTTCTATAATACAGGGTGAAGACATTGTTATTTCCTATATAGTACAGTAAGTATAATAAACATCGAAAAAACCCTTGAAATGCTAATGCTATTAAAGAAAGCATACAACTCATAGAAGGAATACGGATGACACTTCACAAAATGGCATCTGAACAAAGTGTTCTGCTTTGACTCAGAGTAGAGACTCCTCGCTCTTAAATGTGCCTTTTGGCTAATTAATGTAACCAGAGTTTCACCCCACTTGTCTGAAACCGGAAACCAACTTACCTTTGAACATGGGGATGTTGAGTGAAAGGCCATGTTGTTCAGAGAAGAGGGCATTTTGGTGCAAGGGAAAGAGATGGCTAAAGGGAATTCTAAAACAAAATCCTGAAGGACTCTGAAACACATTATCAGTACTCACACCAAAGGCATGGGTGTCAGTAACTGGGACAATGTTTTCAGTGCACAAAATCTTATCTCACACAGCACAGTAAAGAAAAAGATAAAAATTTTAAGAATGTTCCAAACCAAGCATAAGTCCCAATTTAGTATGCTAACTTTCCTTTATCTTGTTTAGATATGTAATTAGATACTGTATGTTTCTGCATATACTAATTCTAAACATTGGCACAATTACAAGTAGGCAACATGGAATATCTGAACTTGTGGGTTTTTACAGAAAGGATATTTTTTCAGCATGTATAGAGTAGCCAGTCTTGAAGCGCGAAAGTTGGCTCTGACAGATCGATAAACAGCTTTCCGGAGACCAATAAGATGCTGACTAGGATGCTGTCCAGCTTTATTAAATGGGCAAGCGGCACTGACCCTGTCAAGCAAACTTGAAAAGTAAAATGTGATACAACTGTACAGATGTCCTAAAGTATTTTTAAAAGACAGTACATCAGTTTTCTTATTCCATTACTCAGAAAACTTTTTCAAACCACTCAGTAACTATGAGAGCAAGAAAAAAAAAAAAATCCATCATATCAATGATATATTTATTCAAAATTTCAGGTAAACAGCCAGGATTCCTCAACAGACAGCCTGACTCCATTCTCATCTGAGCCATGGCAAAACTTCTGAGGATATTTGTTTTCTCCGGAGTTTTCCAAAATGATACACAAAGGGTAGACAGGCCGCAGCATTACCGCTGATACAAAGCTATGACGAGACCACTGTAATCTTTGGAAGTGTTACCATACAGATATTTAACATATACCTCTTTATATGCAAATTTGTTTTTAAAATAATTTTTGCAGAAGGAATGTGCTACTACATATTATTTTTCATGCAGAACACCGTATTCTTTCAACTTTCTCCATGCAGAATCTTCTCTAGGTCAACAGAAATATTATTTGAGAGGTGACATAGATTTTCTCATCATGCAATGAATGACAGCTGTGTCTGTGGGAGTCTGACAGGTAAACACATGAAATGTATGTACCTATAAAAGCATATCTGAAAATAGATTTTGGTGTCCACATATTCAGGTGAATATACAATTTAAAAGAAACTATGCCATTTACCTATTAGAATATACTTCAGAATGGCTTTAGACCTGTAAAAAATTGCCTAATCTGTAAATAAACTGAATTGTTAACCAGATGAATGTTACACATGTCTGTGTACCATTAAGCTGTAGAAAAGTAAAAAAGATTAATATCCAGTTATATCTATTCATACACAGTCTGATGCAAACCTAAGACAGCAACACTGAAAACAGCCTAAAAGTGCACTCTAACTTGATGGGACTGTTTTTACTAGCATCAACTCCGGAACGGATGTAGTGTGGACAACAGGACAATGAATTGCAATGAACTGTTTGGAGACTGGACGCCTGCTTCTGCTCTCATCTTTCCCAGGGCATGGTGAGGAGGTGATTTCACGTCTACAGTCACTTAAAAGCAAAAAGCATACAGAGTATCTGGCAAGATTGAGGAGGGTTGATGCGTTGTTAACTATTTCTGTAGCCCATCTGACTGAAGAGCTGACTAAGCCAGCAGACCTGACCCTGCTGGAAAAATTCAGTCCTACTGCATGTGCTTAGCTGGACCATGCTGCACATTGACCGGGAAGGGAAATAGCTTATCGCCTTCACTGTCAAATATGAAAAGCAATGCAGCCCACCCAGTGAGCAAGGCTGGACCCATATCAGTATGTTAAATTCGATTAACACAAGGAGATTCATGCCAAATACTGCAGTAAGTTGAATACGCTAGCTGAAATACCCTATCAAAATATCTGTGTACCATATTAAATTATGTAAGTGATATTAAAATGGTTTATATAACATCTCATAAAGTACTTTCAAATATGAATAAAATAAAAACAAACTGCGGTAATTTCAGTTTCTAAATATAAATTTAAAATGCTAGTCTTGCCATACTCACACTAGGGAACACAGCGTGTAACGTAGTACACGCGGATATCTAATCTCTCCCTAGCTTTTGAAGGTAACAACTGGAAGTATTTTCGGATAAACTCTTACATCAGTTTATGGATTCAAGCACTGGCTGAATTGTCAGAAGCAGGCTCAAAGAAAAGGAGCAAAATGCTTCTACAATAAAAAAGAGAGATTTACGTTCTGCTACAGCGATGTAAGCATTTCTAGCTCCTATACAGAACAAATACAGCACAACTCATGCACAGCATGTACTGACAATATTCAGCAAAACAATTTGCTTTCCTTCTGGGAAGGCTTGTTTCAGTGTTTTTTATAAAATAATTTTTCTTTTTTCCAGTAATCTTAAATTAGTGTAACTTGCTCTAAATGTCTGTGCATCAGACATGCCATATCCCTAACTTCCTAATGTCCCATTTATCTTCTATATATTTTAATTTGACTTACAAAATGTTACCAGCTTTGCATATCAGCCACAAATAGCAAGAAGAAAAAAGGTTAAGGGTGAGGTTCCTCTTTCCTACTGCTCTTTTACTTATAAAGAACAGTGACTTATTTCTCCATTAATCTCACAAGCCAAATTTTAAATAGGCTCTCAACTTTTAACAAACTTGTATAGACACATTAATAAAAACATGTTACTGCACTTCAACATGAAAGCAGTTCTATAAAGATGCTGTATGTTCCAATATGTGCTTGTAGAGCTTGACTCTAGTTTAAAATATAGTAGAAAGGGAGCATTTTGGAGAAAAGCTTATTATTTCAGTGGCAGACAAGGAAATAACTACTTGCTGCAGGCTTTCATTACATATTCCTACAGTTTTCATTTTATAATGTGCAAGACAATGGACATACTTTCATCAACCAGTGGAAATTTCAGGCTGCAACCGGTGATCAGGCTTCGTTTGTCTAATTGTAAATGAAGCAATTAGACAGAAATACTGCCATTCTGCTGGAGCAGGCACTACCCTACCTTGCTTACACAGTTTCTGTAATCCAAACTACCCTGGAGAGGTCTTGGCCATAGATATTTCAAAGCATGTGTCAATTAGCCTACAAGAACACAGAAATGGATGGTGCAATGGGGAGAAAAAACAGCGGTGGAACACAAGGAACTTCAGACCAAAGCTGCAGACCTGGACTTGCCACATCACAGTCCAGCTAAGTACAGCTAGCCAAAATCTGAACTCGGTACTAATTAAATGTCATCTTTGGTATCTTTCCATTCAGAACATGGTTAATGCACAGTCCCAACTATGCTGAGCTAGCAGTACACTAAGGCAGCAGCACGTCTATCACCGAACAGGGTGCTGTGCTACCTGGTTGAAATCCCATTCCTTCAAGGATGTAAAACGACACAGGAAGGTACTCATTAACTTTTCAGATGCAACCATTTCTATTGCCATGTGACTCCTTCTGAACAAACATTAGGACTTTGACAGAGTTACTACAGGAGAACATTCTAAACTTTGTTCTACTAAGGTTTATTGTAGCAAAATTCTTGAAGGAAAAGGGGGTAGCTACTTTTTTGGATCACACATGAAGTGCTATCTCAAGCAAAGAATTTCATGGTGCCCTGTGCAGCAGCATCTCTTGCATACGTGGATGCAGGAAAGGACATTCTGGAGTTAGAAATTCCTCCAGGCTAAACCAAACCAAAACCTGTATAGCACTGACTTCTTCATACCGGACAACTGTTCCGATGAGGATGCTGGCACAGTCATACTTCTCCCACTCCATCCATACTCCAAAATCTTTTGAAAAGTTTGCCAAAGCTTTAAGTAAAGAGGCCATTAGATCAAGCATCAGCTTAAAGACCAGTCTGGTTTTTGTTAATCTGTTATCTAAGACATGTAGTAAAAGAACAAGGCACCAGCAATTTAGATGTTGACCACAAGTTCGTTTGCTTCAACTTGGGAAAAAATCCAAATGTTTTTCTCATTTGTAATTTGGACAAGCCCTAACAAAAATTTCTTTTAAGAACCCATTTGCAAAGATAAGACTGCCTATTGCTTAACTATATGCTTCTTCAGCAAAAAACCAAACCAAAACAAAACACATAGCTAGGCAGACTAAAGACATGCTTATGCATTCCAAAGGGAGAATGAAACATTTCTTCAATGAAACATACTGAAGGTATCTCAAGCTAGAAAATTAATTCAAAATGTTAAGTCTACAGTTTCAACTTTGCATGTAAAAACATGTGCCTGAGCGCAGAATTGGTCTGGCACGAACAAACAATTTCTTGGTGCTCACAAGGCAATTTTTTACTGTTTTTAGAAACAAGTCAACTGGATTTCAGCCGTTGGTGTTTCCCACCTCCTTTTACCTTAAGTCTAACTGGCACAGGTACATATCTAGCCATAAGTTGTTAAAATGAAAAAGAATACATGACAATGAGAGTGCACAGAAGAGGGCCTCCTGGCTTTGGGATTATTGCATACACTGAAGATGTCCTTTCACATACCAAATAAGCAAAAATTACCAAATAACTATATAAGCTAAACAACCAGGAACACTTTCACATCCCTTAAGTGGACAAGAGGCAAATTCAGCAGTAAAAAATTTAAGAATCTAAACATATCAACAGTTGTATGCAAGAAAAAAAGAGTAATGTAAACTTTATTTGAGGTGGGAAATGACCTTTGATGGTCTTTGCTGATTGCTGTGTTCTCATTACTTCAGACTGTTACTTGTTAAATAAAAATAGAATGGTAGAATGGTTTTCATGTCACCTTGTTTCTAAAATATGAATCATTACTTGCAGGTCAGTTTATTTACATAGATATGGTAATGTAACATATGAAAAACCCTCAAACAAACAGCCCTCTAAATGATTCCCCAAAATAGTTAAATAAATTGGTTTAAAATCCATTTCTTCATTTATTTCATTGCTAGTAGAGCAGTAGCTTTCAAAGCATATGAGTTTTGTGAGACTTAATTCTCTCAGGATGCAGGGTTTTAACACTGAGTTGTTAGAATTCATACTTTTGGTATGAATGGTAATTATACTATTTTATGTAAATAAAAAGCCTTAAGTATTATGTCTTTCAGTAACTCCACTTGTTATGGGAGACAGTGTAACAAGACAATTTTAGAAGACACCTGGCTTGAATGGATCTGTGTATTAAAGTGAAATATAGACTCACAGGGTAAATCCTCTAGAAATTACTTCAGTCTCTTGAATGAGTCGCAGAGCTTTCCTCACGAGATTAGTAAAAGCTCGGCTGTTCGCCACCGTTTCTTCCAGCTGGATACAGTATTTTCGCAGGGACATTTGCAGCTTGGCTGTCCTCCATGTGCCCCACACTCGAAAGACTGCATAGACAAGCAGAACTAGTCCCCACAGCAGCCACGATGATTCCTTCCACCACGAAGGAAGCATAAGCAGTACACTTACAAAGGCAAGAAACAGCGAGACATCCCTGCAAACAAAGAAAGTATCATCAACCACAGATTCCTGAGGTTAAACAAGTGGGAAAATCATGAAGCTTTCAGTTACATTTGAGATTACATCTTATTACGGGGCTTTTATGTAGGTCCTGAAGGGAGCTATAAACAGCAAAAACTACTCCTAGTGGCAGATTTAGATGCATACATACATGGTATTACTTGGTTGATATACTCTAAGGACACATTTCTCTGGCTTTTTTATGGCACAAGAATAATATGCCACTTTGAAAGGTCAGTTTCTCTTACACATGTGACTTCAAAAAAAAAAAAAAAAAATAGAAAAAGGAAAAAACCTGGCCACTCAGCATTATAAACCAGGGTGTGTAGAAACTGGAATATCTGTACTTCCAGGTTCAAAAGTACAGTAGGGAAGGGCATGTTTCTTTTGGTAACAAAACCCTCAAGTAATGCCAGCTTTATTTTTTCCAGAGTCTGACTCATTTAACTTGGACATAAACACACCACTAGTTTCTAACACATTTTTATAAAGGTGGCTTGAATAATAATTTTAAATAATGTGGCAACTTTTAAAAATCCTTAAAGAACAGGGTTACTAGTATCTCAGTTCAGTTACTTCTCAAGGACATTTTAAAAAGTTCATAAAGCTGTTATTCTCATCTAGAAAAATTCAACAAAAGTAACTGTTAGAAAACACATTATGTTCATGTATAGTAATATAGTTGCAGTTTTGTAAAATTATGACAGTTTTCACAGAGATGGATGGGATATGGGCTTCAAGATGCATAACAAATTTACTGTTTCAGAAGTTCATTTTTTTCACCCCTTAAAGCTGTGTACCCTGTATTTAGTTTTGCAAGTATTCACAAGGAATATTTTCCCATTTCTAAAGAAGGACATGATCTCTGGGTTTCTATTTTCTGAACAGTTTTGTGGTCATATTTCAACAAGTTTTACAAGTGTTAACTCTTCAGGGCTACTGATAGGTTTCAGTAAAGATCCAGGGTTAAAATATTCCAGATATGTAATAACTTTAAAAAGGACAGAAACAGAGTCTATAACTTCCTTGGTGCATTAAGAAAAAAAAAAAAAAGTCACACACAATACATGAATCACAATAGTGAAAGACTGGAAGGGATTTAAGAGCTCCTTTTGTCCATTTTCAGTTTCTGGTTAATCCAGATCATCAGGGACAGACTAAAGAAGAAAACGAAGACTCTATAACCCACCCAGGTAGCTATTCCAACTCGTAAGTATCCTTAGAGTTCAAAAGATTTCCCCCAAGTCCAGTGTGAATCATTGGCAAATCAATCACGTTATTTTTCCTCATATCCTTCCTTCCCTTTTCTGAACAGAATAAACAGCTGATCACCACCTTCTTATTAACTAGCTTCTATACATCGTAACACTGTTCCATCCCACCTCCACTTTTTCCATTTTGGCCAAGCAATCCTAGCACACTCTAATGTTTCCGAAAGATTACATTTTCTTAGCTCATTATTCTTCTTGTTCTGCTCTGGCCTGTATCTAAATTAACTATGCCTCTCAAAGTGTGGCATCCAAAACCAGATGCTGTAGTCTAGCACAAGGCTTAGGGAAACAGACAGAAACATAAACTGTGTCCTGCATGTAACAATGACACCAGGATGAGATTTGCCATTTTTTGAATAATTTGCTGACACATTCAACTTATGCTCTGCAATGATGTTAATATGATTTTTCCTTCCCAAGTGTAGCAGTTGGCTTTTGTCTTTAATGACTTTTCTATTGATTTCAAGATATTTCTCCAAGCTACTTTTGAACTCCATTCTGCCAGAAGACCTACAAACTTGGTGTCACCTATAAGATGAGCAATATTCACAAATTTTATAAGTGTACTTTATCATCTGAACAGTTAAAGAAACAATGAATAGTGCTAGGACCAGGACAAACCACTGGAAAAAATCTGGTTCAAAAGTTCCCTTGTTTGACAGAGCATCAATAATGACATGTTACAACTTAAACAAGTGGAGTTTTTAACCTGTTGTGGCTTTATAATAGTTTTATCTATTTTCCTAAGATATGTATGAAAACATAGCACTGGGCTGTGTTATGAGATATTTTTATCTACTGATTCCTGTCCATTTCTGAGAAAGTCACTCTGTCAGAACACCCACTGTCCTTGTTATTTTTCAGATACAGGTGGTAGCTGTTCAAATACTGCTGCAGCTAGCTCCTTCAGTATTCTAGGGTGAATTTTACCAGCCTCTGCTGACTTAAATGCATCTTATTTAAATATTCTTTAGTCTATTCTTCAGGTATTCTACGTCTGAAAATTAATTGTATACACCCACCCAATGTATTTTATGAAGACTATAGCAAAGAAAACACTTTTCTTTCCAGTCTTCACAATCATGTCTCATTTATCAAAATCACCATAGTATAGCTTTAGAAATTAATGAATTAATCAACCATGTTAGTTCTTCCTTATAGCATATATTACGGTTTGGAAGAATCCACTCATGTTCATGTAGCTACCTCAGACTAAAACTCACTCTTTCAATAAAACACCTGAGGGAAAAAACAGGCTTATACAAAAATTTGGGGACTAGTGGACCAAAGACTCAAAGACCTGAGGAAAAAAATAGTTACTTTATGCTGTATTTTATATAAATAACACACAATACATTTTTTGCTTGTTTCTCAGTGAATGTAGTGGTAGATATTCTCTGTACAATACCAAATATTAGGAGTTGCTAGGGAGCGTAGCGTTGGAAGCTGTCTGTTTTCCTGTTGCTTACACTGCCCTGCAGACAGGATACTGGGGTCAAGGAACTCAATCAGTTCCACATCCTCCTGCAGCAGAACTTCCTGTTGCAGGATGGTACGGAGCGTGTCAAATCGAAATCCAACATCCTTACCACAAATGGGCAGGAGAAAAAACAGGCATTAGTAAAGAATATGCAAATTCTTAAAATTAAGTTAGCAGAACAAGAAAAACACCCAGACGCTCTACACTTTACTGACAACAGTCTATTCCCAAAGACTACAGGAATGTTTCAGATATATCACAAGAAGCTACTTGATTATTATTAAACTTGCTTAACTTTAAAAACTCACATATGGCCTAACAGTTCAGACTTGCAGGATGCATCACACTGACTTCGTGGTCTGACCTAGATAGTAACAATACCTGGAAACATGCCACAGTTTATGCCAATATATCTGCATAAGAATCAGAGAGGTATTGTACCTATTAGAAGATCCTTAATAAAACAGCAAATACTTTTTTTCTTTTTTAGATGTCATGAAATAATTTACATCATTAACAAACAAACAAAAATAAGAGAGATTACAAATTAGTCAACAAAAAGTCACCTGTGGACACTTAATTACAGTATGGTAAATGCACTGGACTCAAGCTCTGAGCCAAGACAGTGAAGTCCTCTCCTGCAGAATTCTGTGCCTTTCCCAAGGAAACCTGATCCAAACATTCAACAGCATGGGACTCTGAAGACCTCACACTTTCTGAACTCCCAACAAACTTCAGGGAGTTACTTACTTGTGGATTTGATGCCATGATAAGCATTTGCTATTTTTTTCCCTATAACTATAGCTCTTCAAGAGAAATACACAGCTCTTGAAGACAAATATATCCATCAGAGAAGCTCCCTGAAATTTTAATTTGCATATTGCACCAAGCTATAATTACAAAACACTTCAAGTTAAGAATGTCATAACGAAACCAAATAAACACTGAAACATGTGCATCTTTGCATTTAGCTAGATTACAGGAGAGAAAGGAGAATATTTCTGAAAACCCTCTAATAGAAACTGTTAACAGAATTGACATTTCACAGTACAAAATCTGTTTAGTTCTGTCATTGACAGAATGAGATTCTTTATGAAACCATAAGATAGCTAGTCAAAAGTTTAATTCCTTATATTGATGTCACTTGAGAAAACTTGCATTCTCTTTTTAATGGAAAACATTTGTTTCAGGACCATGTACAAGAGGAAACTCTGCCCTTCTATGATGCATCCTGTGTCATTTCAGTATCCTACTGTAGCAAGTAGCAGAAGAAACATGTTTTCCATATTTTTTGGTTGTGTCTTCATCTCAAGAAAGTAAGGCTAAAAAAAGCTGTTAAGATAATACCTTTGATTCACAGAGGAAGAGGGAGGAAGAAAAAAGACAACCAAAGATCACTAATGAGAAGTTTCAGAGGAAATTTTGTCCTCCTGAGACAAAGGAGAAGAGAGAGCAATTGGATCCAGCAGAACTCTCTGAGAAATGGAAACCCCTAACTTCTCATGTTGCTCAACATTTTTTTTTTGAAGCTACATTTGAAGACATCATCCCTACATCATGGTAGAAAAAAATAAATTAAAACGCTAACTTTTAGATTCTGTAACAGTCTGACGAATGTGACATTTGCAAGCCAGACTAGGAACCTGAGACAGCTGGGTGCAAGCTAACACACGTCTCAGACAAGCCCATGCTAGAGACTGAACTGGCTATAAAGTGCCACAGCAGAGAACGGGTGTAAAGGCAGCATAAAACTGTTTTTAACTATCTGGGGTAGAACTATCACCCTTCAGGTCTAACCCGCACAGGCTGACTTGGGCCCTAGAAGTTACTGCAGGCTCCAGGAGTAGGAGAATACAACTTCTGGTGAGGCAGATGGACAATGAACTGGCTTCTGAGCTGCTGAAATGAGAGCACATAGGAGTGCAGAGAACTGCTCTTGCCTTTCCCTGCGTAGCCAGGGCGCTACACAGATGTCATCTGCTCTTAATGGTAACACTGTTCTGAAGCATTGTAATGGAGGTGCCTTGGTTTGCTTTGCTCTTCCCAAATGCAGAAGCACTGTGGACAGCAGTGCAGAGGTAGATAGGCCAGCATGGGTCCAGCGGTAGTAGAGCTGCACTGCAGTGGTGCCGTGCCTCAGCTAACAAGCTGAAACAGAGGGTGAAGTAATACTCAGATAAAGCTCTAGAGCCTTCTGTCTTGACCTGTGTCTGCAAGGCACGAGGCTGCAACATATGGACTTTCTCAGACAGCATCTTCACACTGCCTTCCACCAAAGGGGGTAGCTACACTGTAGGTTATCTCCTTTCAGCTTTCAAGAATTTCTTTAATTTTCCACACACTTTAATTTCCCTTCCACATTTTAAACATCTTCAACCTGGCTACTGATATTGTTTCTGTCCTTGTGTGCCCAACTTGCCTGGCACAGCAGCTCTGAAAACCAGAATCAATATTATCTGAAGTACAATTCTTAAAGCCAAAACCAACAATACAGACCAAAGATGGAGCATAACGTACAGAGGAGAAGAAGACTTGTGGATCAAGGAAGGAAATAGAAAAAAAAAGTGATCACTTACCAGTCGGTGAAGTATGTCATCATTTTTCTTATACTGTAGAAAAGGAAACCAACTTCTAAAGAACTCAACTAGTTTTGACAGGATGCCTTGCTGAAGGGAACAGAAATTACTCCAATTAAAAAAAAAAAAAAAAAAGCCAAAAATAAATAAAGAACAACATACAATTCCTTTATTTCTGCATTTGTTTTTCTTGTTAACTCAGACTCAGGTACCTCTAAGGAAGTTTCGCTTACTCTGTCTGGCCTAACTTCAGAGTACACTAAGGGAACATCTGCTTCCCGTCAGTTTGCCCATACACAAGAGTGTGAAATAAAGCTTTCAGTAACCCCACCTATTTGGAGCATAATGGATTGTTATGTTGTACTGTTAAAAATAACTACAGTTAGAATTAGTTTGATCTCAAGTTGGCAGCTACTACATTGATATGAAAGACTTTCTATCTCCTTGAGGATAAAAAAAGCAGGTTAAATGGCTGACAGGGACTGAAGAAAAGTAAAAGACCAGGAGAGGAACAACCTCTCTCTGGCAGTCCATGGCAGCTTGAGGGCAACGCTTTGGAGGAGTTGTGAACAGAGACAGGGAAGAGTGACTATAAGAAGAGGAACTGTCCCAGCAACTCCCTGTCTCAATCAGTGCGTTGCTATCAGGTACTTTGTCTCCATGCTGCTTCCCATGAAACCTAAATCCACACTTTCATCTGAGCCGTAAACATAACTTGAACACCACTAATTAGAGGGACTCCCTCTCGGCCATCACACATTTTACTCTTGTATCTTCCAAAAATATGATGCATAAAAGATTATAATTAAATAGATGCATGATTTTGCTTCACTCTGTAGCAATTCAAAGAAAAAAAATTGAGTTTTTGCCACACACTATATATCTACTTTCTTCAGACTGAGCTGACAGGAAGTATTTTTCAAAATATTTACCTATATATATTTCATGAATTCTGAGGCCCTACCTCTTAATCTTCAGACTGCTGACATGTAGTACAATCGAACAAAACACATGCCAAAAGAAATTAATTGTGGAGCACTTACGTTTTGTGGCATACCATTTTGAAATAAAAAAAAAAAACAAACCAAACAGATTATAATAGCTTAATCTATAAAGGGTGTCTGCATTAAATCAGCTTCTTCTGTTTCTCTCTCTTATTTGGTTGTGGTTTTTTTCCCCCCCAACTATTAGGTGGGAAATAGAAGAGTAAAACTAAGCAACAGGAGCTTGAAGCTTTGAGGTTAGCCTTGTGATCAGCCGGACAGCTCTCTGAAAGACAGTGTGACACAAGTTTGATGCAACAAACCAGGGCAGAAGGGCTTTGAGTAACATCAGAAATTGTCACCCTAAAGTCCTTACGCTTCAACAATTTTTGAAATAACATCTTTCTGTGTACAGTTAGAATTGCAGACCTATGCCAAAAGGAAGTGTTTTTAGGTCAGTGGAGAGACAAACCAGTAATAGGGGTTTCATAATGACAGCTCTTCCCAACACACAGACATTATTGAGGCTTATTAAAAGGAGCTATCCCAGCAATCCTCACTTCTTAGACTATGGAATAAATCCAGGTGATTGTATTTTGATGTTGCTCAAGAGCACTGACATAAGTTGGAAGAGGAGAAGAGTATCACAAACTGCAGCACTAGGTTATCCTCCGAGTTTCTTGTCAAGTGGTGCAAAATAAACCAAAATTTTCTGACTACAATTTGTAGAAAACTGAGATTAAATAAACAAAGGTCCTTGCTCTGTATTTGAGTTGCAGACAATACTTAATTCAGAATTACTTTTCCCCATACTTTGAAAGCAGAGTACAGAAAGAATTTCCATGTACTATTTAAAATTATGCCTCTTGGAGCGTACCAATTTCAACTGCTTAGACTTCATAAACCTGTATTTTTATCATGAACATTTAAATCTACATCAAGGATAATTTCAAACTGCTACCAGCTGACTAAACTAGACTGTGGAATTACTGAAAAAAAACCCCCACATTAGTGTGCTACATAAGTAATCTTTTGGTTTATTTTCCATGTTTTAGTTTAAAAATAAAAATCTGAGCTTGCATAAACACTCAACAGGCATGTCAGTGCTTGAAAACACAAAACAAGACAACCCACTGTCTTGGGCTGTGACCCAGTACAGTACAGTGACACATTAAATTATTCAGATCCTTTGAATAGTGTCTCACAGTTTGCATTCCCATTGGGAGTGTTACTGACAAGTAAAACAACTTTCATCAACACACAAGTCAGATCATGTTGCCAATGCCTCTGGAGTATTCTTTTTAAAACTTTAGAACACCACTCAGTCAAACTCTCTGTAAACTGAATAACAAAGATGTATAACCTCTAATATTACATATATATATATATATGTATAAAAAAGCATAGGACATGCATATTTTAGGTACGTTCATTTGAATCTAAAATAAAATTCTAAGAACTATTTCTCCCTTTTACAGGATAAACCTGAAATGACAAACTAGCAGGTATCTAAAATATCATCATTCATGCTTACACCTTTCAATTCTGTGCACTTCAGGAAGAAGATAATGCTACAACCTAAAAACCTTCCAGCTACCCAGAGCTAGTATTAAGTGGGTGGGAGCCCTAGATAAAGGTAAAGGACTGATCCCTCTGCCTTTCCACATCAGGTCACCTGCACAGCTATTGAGGGCTAGCCCCAACACAACCCTTAGTAGTTGCCTCTAACACCAGGCCTGTTCTAGTGATGAAATATTATGACATCTAAGATGGGAAAAGGTGTGACAGTATAATCAATTTAAACATTTAGATATGCACAGGAGTCTAGGAAAATGACTGAGAAAGGAAAAATGTAAATGGGAAGAAATATATTCCTTAAAGATCAAGCAGAATTATCCAAATAGGACTTAATTCCAGAAAACAGGTCTAGGAGCTCTTGCAAACAGTGCTTTTGAGTATCAAGTAATCATGAGACCAGAAGTCTAGCTGTAACTTTCTCCAGAGATTGGTACAGTCATGAACACTGCACCTATAATTACCGTGCTAAATCACATCTCTACACGCTCTCAGGTGGAAGCTTGGCATTTCATCAGCCCTCAGAACACAATCATGAAGCACCTTTACAGCTTTTCAGCTCAGTGTTCATTAAAACCATGTACTGATTTAAAAAACCCACCAAAGCCACACACAGAGAGAACTATTTAATACGTGCTTTAAATTCAACTGATGTCTCTGCCTTTCATTAAGCCTGAACCATATGCTCTACTTGGCAGGACAGCAAGACACAGCAGCAACGTGTATCAGTCACTAGGAACCTCTTTTTTTTCCAGATTTGTTTTTTCAGTCCCTGAAGATCCCAAACTAGATCACTACCTTGCCAAAATCTTGCTATATGTCACCAGATTGTATCTGCAAAAAGTTCCTACTTGACTGAATACAGGAGGAGTAAACAATCTCAACTCAAAGACAAAGCAATACTGCAGTTTTTCTATTTTTATTTTAATAAAGTGTTTAAGGCATTTGCAAACTTGCTTTTCAGAACAGAAGGAAAATAATACACACATACTAGGCATCACTCAACATGGAACATCATCTACTCCCTGTGATTATATTTCGCATCACACTAAGTCTCAACTAAGATAATTTTGTATTAGGACTGTGGGTAGGGTAGATACATATACAGAGCTCAGAGGCCATTTGTTTCCCAGACATTTTATAATTTCAGTAGACTAGGCAGGCAAAGCCTGAGGGGAGGAAGTGACAATAATGTCATGTAAAAATAAGGAAATGATTGGATGGGAATGTAAATGATTTGCCAGTATGTCATACAAAAGTTGCAACAAAGCCTCAGTTCCTCCTAAATCCAGTCTACTTCTTTAAATGTGTGACCAGCTTCCTCTCCCTCATTCTCATTCCTTTTGAGACACCCTACCAAAATGACACACAGAAATCAAATGACAAAACCAGACTTTCTGATATCAGATCACAAAAGAAAAGTGTTAAAGTTCCCAAACTGGTACAGGAACAGCAGCAGGAAGAACCTATGCCAATTTATCACTAGAAATTACACACAGGTTTCTTCCTTATTTTCACTATGTATCCCTGTCTAGACAAAGATGAGACAATGTGAATGTCATTCCAGGATTTGCAAGAAATGGACAGACCATTTTGCACACACCCACTTCCTTCAAGGTGCAAGGCAAACCATGACGAATTACTTCTACATCTGACACAATACTGGAGGACTTGCTCCCAACACAAGAAAATTAAGTGTAAAAGGCTTGAGGGGAAGGGCGCTGGGGGGTGGGGGGGAAGAATACCTGAGGCTTTTAAAAGCAGTATATCTTAATACTTTTGAGGTTCTTAACCCCACAGCACTTTTGTATTAAATTTGGTGGAAATTTTATACATGAACACAGCATCATACTGCTTTACCGACTTCCACCAAAGTAATTATTCAAAATAACGTAATGCAGATAACAAGCGAGAGTCCATGCATTATTTCATAGTAATGAATAGAAAATCAGCTAATGAAATATGTCACACCAATTTTCAATTAACAGTGGTTTAACTAAAGTCTTCCTGCACTAAACCAGAATAGGCATCTTCAGTGCAAATGTACCACAAAACTGCCAATAGCTTTAAAGGGAAAATATATTTTCAGGTGGTTTCTTGAGGGTTATGGTGAGTGCCAGCTGAAAATTCTGAAAAGTAAGGGTAGTGGACCTAATATTTCCATGAATACTTTTAAAGGTAGTTTAAATTAAAGTATAAAAAATAGTGAGTTAAATACTGAATTAAATTCAGCCTTGCCTTGTGACCACTGTTAGAAGCAATCTTTATTACAAATGCAATAGCTATCCATATCAACAGTAATTAGAAATCAATTTATTCATTAAATTTATAATAATCTTACATCAGAGAAAACAGCCAAGGAAGCATGGAGACACTGAAAGACTTACTTCTCCTCCTCCCCTCAGCTAATCTGTTTTCGGGGCTCACAAATTCTCAGCACACTAGACTAGGGGGTTCTGTATGAACCTCTTTCATAATTTTTTCTACATGACTGCTGAACTCTTTGAAAAGCTTTAAACTCTATGGGAACGTAGCTCAACAGTACTGAACTTGGGGATTCATATTACAGTATGATTATTTTTTTACAGGCTGTCTAATCCATGTGCTGGGCACGCAGTGGTACTTACTGGTCTGCTTGATGGATCCACACCCTGCATCTTATCTACATGGTCATTTTTGATCAGAAAGTGGGGCATGAGAGGAGGGAGACAGGGCACACTTCCATAGGGCTGCAAGTCCCAGAACTGGGGACTGAGTTTGTGAAGCAAAGTGTGCAGTGTACCTGCCCAACAGGTAAACACAAACTACGACCAACCTATCCATGAAGATAGACTCCAAAAGGGCTGAAGACCAAAGCCAAAAGTTTCATGTTTTATTATCCTGTCTTTTCAAATGGACTGATGAGTGTGTGAGGAAGCTTATACAGTCTATACAGAGAACGGTTGAAATTAATATCACTATATGAAAATATGACCCATCAGCATTTCTCTGAATACTGCTAGATGAGTAAGCTTCACACTGCAACTTCTAAATCTCCACTTCAAGGACTGCATGTCAGTCTTTTCACGCACACCATACTATTGCAAACATTTCAACAACCACACATTCTTCCTCCAGATCAGAAAAAAAACCTGACTGATGTTATCCACATCAATTCATACACTTCCAAATGCTATCCCACCTAAGATCCTACACAGAGCAGAACAGATTAAAAATCCAACAAGAAGAAAATACTTCTAACCTACAACGAAGAAAGAACAAGAGGGATATATACAAAACTGAAAAAATATATTTGCAATAAAGCCTAACTAACTGTGACTATTACTTGGCTAATTCCTTGAAGCATCTGAGAACTGAGTAGCTGATATACATCAGGATGGCATTATTTGAGGAAAGATTCTAAGAAAAGCATCAGCTCTCCCCATTCACCAAAACCTACAGAGAGACCTGGAGATCTCAGGACCATTCATGTCATATTGCTTGTGTTTGGGAAAAATAGGAAACTCTCCCCAGTTCACTACCAGATAATTGGGAGGGTGGAACACTGTGGAGCAGGGAAGCAGCAGTGGTTACAAACAAGAGGAAAGGGGTTGTGACCCTCTGATATGAAGATGGCTAAAGAGATATAAAACTGGAATTAACAACAGGAAAACTGAACTCCAGTGGAAGGTTAAAAGCCACGGCAGGCAAGAATCAGATGACCTAAGATGCACAAAGATGGAAGCTACTGTAGATGGTGGAGAGAGAAGATAAAGAAATGGTAGTTCTTTGGAGGCAGTGCATCAACCCATGAATGCTTGGTTTGGGTTTCTACCCGTGAGCTGCTGCCCATCTCAGCCTGCAGTGGCCCGGACAGAGAAGTCTGCATGGAGGCCTCCTTTCCCCCCTGGCTTAGCACATAGTGAAGCACGTCCACTGAAAATTGAACTCTCCACTGTGGAAGTGAAAGAGGTAGGCAGAAAAAACTACTCTTTGCATGCTCCATCTGGGTGCTAAGGGGAAGACAGAATGACTACTGAATTTTCAATATACTTGTTTCAAAGAGATTACTACATTAGCTGACTCAAAAGAGGAATTTCCTCACCCACACTATAGCTCTTCATCTGAGTCACACTGCCTGTAAACTACCAATAACAGTAAAATACCACCTGATTTTAATATGGGAAACAAAAAATGTGCAGGCTATAGTAGGTGTTAAATGGCCAAATTCTCAAGCATAATTTTAATACCAAAATGTTTTTGAAAAATCCACAAGCCTTCACTTAAAACAACAGAGAAATAAGAAGTCTGAGCTAATCAGCCAATGATCCTCATCAGCTGTTAATGTTAGAAAATTGCCATAACCTAAGCACAGTTCTCCTATCTCATTCAGATTGGTTATTGTATTTATACTTCCCAGAAATCCTTTTTCTTAATATATTTTGTCACGGAGTAAGTGATATTTAGCAACCGAATGCCTGAGAAGGGCTGGGAACTATAAATACTCTGTTCCAGAAAATTACAGGTTTTATTCCCAGAATGTCATGCTAAGCTAACATAATAATATCCAGTAAATAAGATAACTTATAACACTCAAAAATTTCATTATCAAAGTCTCTTGCTTCCCTAGCTTACATAAGTGCAAACAAACACTCCAAACTGTATTGGCAAACCATGCATTTCCAAACACATTTGTAGACAAGATATGACAACTGATTGGGGTTTGTTTTGGTTTTCTTATTTTAAGAATACAGTAGTAGATTTATCTCTATGCCCTCTGATTTTGCCTATTTGTGAAGTGATGTGGTTGTCTTTTGAGCAGATAAATGCTCAGGAACATGAAAGTGCTCACTTTCTGGGCAGCATGCACAGTCTGCTCTTTCTGTCTTTCTGCTGCTGCACATTGCTCTGCCTTCTGCGACACAGATGAACATACTTCAAAATCTGTGTGTCCCAAATCCTGCAGATACTGGTAGAGTGGGGAATTCTGAAAGAGAGTTAAAAAAGTGAGAAAAAACAATGTTAAAGATCATTCCATGCTTCCCACAAAACACAACTGTGAATATAGTAACCACACAACAAGCAATGAATGGATTGAGAGCAGCCCTGCAGAGAAAGACTTTCGGATAGGGGTGGGTGAAAAACCAGACATGAGCCAGCAATGTGCACTCACAGCCCAGAAAGCCAACTGTATGCTGGGCTGCATCAAGAGCAGTGTGGCCAGCAGGTCGAGGGAAGGGGATCTCCCCCTCTGCTCTGCTCTCATGAGACCCCACCTGCAGTGCTGTGTTCATCTCTGGGGCCCCCAGCATAAAAAGGACATGGAACTGCTCAAGAGGGTCCAGAGGAGCCTCTCCCCTATGAGATCAGACTGAGAGAGTTGGGGTTGTTCAACCTGGAGAAGAGAAGGCTCCAGGAAGACCCTTATTGCAGTCTTTCAATAATTAAAGGGGGCTTATAAGAAAGACAGAGAAAGAGTTTTTAGTAAAGCCTGTAGGGACAGGACAAGGGGCAATGGCTTTAAACTGAAACAGGGCAGGTTTAGATTGGACATAAGGAAGAAAATTTTTAAAATGAGGGTGGTGAGACACTGGAACAGGGTGCCCAGAGAAGTTGTGGATGCCCCATCACTGGAAGTGTTGAGCAACCTGGTCTAGTGCAAGGTTTTCCTTGCCCATGGTTAGATGATCTTTAAAAGTCCCTTCCAACCCAAACTATTCTGTGATTCTATGCAACAGGAAAAAAAAAAACCATAGTTAATAGCAAAGAAGCCAAAATTTTGCTTTAAATATCTCCCTTAAGTTTTAGCCTGACCATAATGAACAAGGCAGCAAGACAACATACAAAACAATGTGATGAGAAATAAGCACGCAACCAATCATTTTTTCCCACAGAAATATGTTTTCTAGGTTTCCTGATAGGGTTCTTTAGCTTATAACATACATGTTTTCAATAAATAAATTGTGTATTTGGTAATAAATTTTAAAATATTATTGTGTGACTCTGGAACATTTAATGACACGGTTTTCCTAAAGTTTATAGAAATTGGATAGATTATAATTTGAATCACTTCTACTGAAACAAACTTTAAAACTAGAGCACTTTTCAAACTTCAGTAAATGAGGCCTCAGTGTAACCTGATTAGGTACCTACAGACTGTTTTACAGAAATGGAAAAACAAATTAGAAAAAAGCTCCTGCTCTCTCCAAGTATGGTACTAGCATTTCTGGCAAAGGAGTATCACAGTTATTTAAAAAAAAAACCAAACAAACAAAAAAACCCCCAACCCGACTTCTTTAAGCTGCTGACAAAATTACTTATTTAAAAAAAGTCCTTAATAAAACTTCTTAGAGAAAGTATGGGATTCTGACCACCAGACAGTGCGTTTTTGAATGTTTATTTATCTATATTGACTTCTGAAATTTCTTGTTGTCATCTGCATTATATATATAGATTTACTTCATTCTTATTTTTCTGTTTACAACCACATATATGGCAGTATCTAGGATAGATCTGATAGAAAGGATATTTATGCTAACTCCAGTTCTACTCAGAACATGTAAAAATACTTTGTTTTTAAGAACACCTCTCAGCAATCAGTCTTAAATAGCCTAGTTAGTTTGGGATTCATTTTGACCTCTGAAAAATTTTATCAACATCCCACACTAGTCTGCAAACACTAGCAAACTGCATAGGGAGGACACAAACCATTTTAAGAATTATAACATACTATCAGTGAGATAACAAAAATACTGTAAATAAAAAGTAAAAACCTTACAGTAAATAATGCACAGTTGTGGAGGTCTGCAGAAACAACCACCAACAGAACAACTACTATAGTTACATTAACTATCATTAATTTGCTGGTGTAAGTTGCAAAGGTGGCCCATCTACTGTAACGATGTACCAACACGGCCAAATCTCAAGACCGCTTGCCATACAATAAAAGAAGTCGGAAGCAAACATTCATACTAGCTAAACAAATTAGCTTGTTACCTCTAGGGCTTTTTTTTTAACCCCATCACCAAAGCGCTATTTTGATTGCTCTCAGCTATTTAAAGCATGCAAATTCATACTTTTGCATGCTTTGCTTCAGTTACTCACAACAGATTCAGCGTCCAGTCATTACCTGAAACTCAAACATTCGTGCCAACTCACAGGGACCGACATACCCCTCACCCACAATGACCACAACTGTGCAAAAAGCTAGGATAGGTTTATGACTCATTTCCTTTGGGAATTTTGCCAGTGCGACAACCCAATCCTATCTTTTTACCAAGTACCCTTCCTCCTTGGCTGAGTACATTTTCAAATGCATGTAACTCTAATGAAACACTGTGCCGTTCTGGACTGGCTGGGAAGAAGGTACAGTTCTCTCTTTACCAGAATTACTTAACTAAAATGGAAAAGAAAAGATAGTAGACTAGAATACTTCTCTTACGTAAGACTGTTAAATTCAGCACAAAACTCAGAATATGAATGCATATGTATAATCTCATATTCTTAAAATGATTTTCATACAGAGCCAGGCTGGGCACTGCCAGTGCACCTGGAACAACCTGAACACCCCCACACAAGGGGCTTTGGGGTAGCACAGAGGTTTCAGTCAGAATCACCCAGAATTTTCCCTATTTAGACAAAGATACATATACAAGACAGTGGGTGAACAGAGAATGTTTTATTCAAAATCATAGTTTTGATGCTTGTTCCAGGCAGGACTCCAGGGAAATCATACGTAGGCTCTTGGCACACCTGACCATCATTTTGACCATAGTTGGCCATCATCTTGATCATACTTGTCACAGGCAAGGCCAGCCATCATTTGACATGTACATTACTGGTACTAGCCAACATAGAGAGAGCTGGCAAAATAACCCAAACATACCAAGGAGTTTTTCCACTAGTATTTCAGGGTGTACATCGCTTTGGGGTCCATGAGGAGATAATTTTATAAAAGCTGATCAAGAAAACCGGTCTAATGCTGCTTAGATTGGTTCAATTTCCCCACAAAAATGGATGAAGGAAGTCAGAGAGAGAGACAGAGGCAGACAGAGATTCTGTCCGCTGCAGACAGCGTTCGCTTAAATCCGGAATGCTACATTAAGTGAAATATTGTATAAATGTAAAAATGCCCAATTCTTCCCTCTTACTTGGTATTTGGCAACACCAAAACCTTCCCTCTGACTGTAATTAGTACATTCTCTACTCTATGGAAATAGTAAAAAATACACCATCTCTCCAAACATTAATGAAACTTCAGTCCCTAGCTAGGATGAGTAATTTTATTTGTTCTTGTAATCACGGTGGAATACAGGCACCTTACTAGGTTTTACATAAATTCCTTCCAATTAACTTTTTGAAGGTTTTACAGGGTCTCATTTTGGGTAGATCTGCAATTTTTTATCACTGCTCAGAACCAGGAATCAGTTTTCTGATTATTGAGTTACAAAATGATAATTGATTAAAATCTAACTTGAATGTTTATCACATATTCCTTCAAGTACATAAGGGTTCTCCTCTTTCAGTTTCTCAGGAAGTACACAGGCTATGATAATTCTCCTTTAACACATTTCTCTGGCTTCACATGCTTTTTCTTTCCCATTCTTTTCTAAAAGATTTTTAATGTAACTTAAGTGCGCATTGGAAAACTTCATTTTTTTATTAAAAACTTTACTGTGACTGAAATCCCTTATGCTGTAAGTAAAACTACCATTGTTCTCCATTCTGAATCCATTAGTAGCATGTAAAATGTGGGTTAAGAAAGCACTGAATAAGAAGTGTGTTGAGGCCCTTGTGAAATTAGATTATTCAGAAATTTAATGAAACAAACATAAAATTCTTCCATTAAGAGTGAGGTCTCTTGTGTAGCACATTCAGCTTCACATTTTGCACAGAAAATTTGAAGATTACACTCCTCTTCTATTAGAAATACCACTGATGGCATATATATATCATATACATTACATTTCATGTCCTAGATACCTCTTAACTTCCAATGACCCTGACAAGCCTGTCACTTGTAAAGCTGTGTGGTCTGTATAACTCACGGAGGATGTCTCCATCAGTCTCCACCAAATTTCTGCCATGACGTACATAAGTAATGGCTAGAAAATTCAGTAGAAGAATTTTTAAAAAGTTGAAGGGTAGATTCTATGTATGTGAACATTTACACAAAAGTTCCAATATTATCAAAGAATCAAAAAATTATTAATTATGCAACTACAGAATTGCAATAAGATACCATTAAAATAGCCTATTCTACATACTGTTTGTTTCAATACGAGACAGAAGTATTATACTTACTGCTTACAAAGTATTTTTCATCTTCACGAAGCTTTAAAAACAATAATTAAATCCCATAATGTGTCTGATATCCCACAAATTATAGCTCTGAATTTCTAGCTTACATCCTTACCCATACCTCTCACTCCTAAATGCCTTCTTTCCCATAAAAACGATCACAGATATGCACATATGCTTGCACATGCACTTCTAACTGTGAGAAAAGTTCCTGGGTTTCAATTCAGGCTATTGTTCATCAGCATTGTCAGGCTCAGCTGTTTTCACCTGCAAATGCCATGATAATATAAAAAAAAAAAATCTACTTCTTGGTTGGGGAAAATAGGAGGGATCTGCCTTTCTTCCCCCTAATTTTCTTTGATCAAAATTAATGTATTCTTTTTTTTAAGTCCAACATTAAAAAAAAAAAAAAGCAACTGATTTTGTTTCTGCATATATTATAGATACTACACTTCTAATTTAAGAAATTCAAGATATATTAGAAAGTTTACCCTTGCAAGCAGTAATAGGTTGTAATTTAAAAAAAAATATATAATTTAGACTTCAAAGAAAGCTTTTATCTTAGAATGTGAGGTAAAGGGACAGCAAGGTTGTTTCAGTGGATGGCATGAAAAGGAAATTCAAAATATAAAATCTCATCTTCCTATTAATACAGGATCATATTATTCTGGAGGAGTCTATTTCCACATATTTTTGAATCTTTACCTTCAATCACTTTCAATCTAGATAATATCTAGAATAGTTAGTATTACTCATGTTTGACAGTCAGGTTCGTTTATTTATTGCAGCCTTGTAAGGACAGATATTGGACTTTATTGTGTGAAGCATTTTGTGCATGTTCTGAGAAAAACCTTTGCAATCACAAACCACATTAAGGCACTGTTAGCTTTCATAGTTTTGTTACAATAGCATCTGAAAATCAAAGCCACACCCAAATTATTTTTGCTGATGCATCATGAAGTAAATGACTCAGGATTTCTCCATTAGAGACAAGGACTTCCCACACCCAATGTTCTTCACTATGATAAAATTTATTATCTAGTAAAGCATTACTCTAGTTTCCAACCACAGCTAAAGGAGCAGATTAACCTTCAAGGTAATATTTAATGCTATTGCACAAAATAAGAGGTTTAAAGCTCTCCTCTTAAAATACATATATGTTTTTCCAAAGCTGAGGTTTCCAGTATGCCAAAAACAGTGTGAGCTTAAACCACCTCCGAAATAACTACAAGTTATAAATTATCAGCTAAAAAAAAAATTAAACATTCCTACCACAGTGACAGCAAAGGCTAAGATATGCTGAACAGGTGGCTAAACTCAGAAGAAAACAGGCAGCAGTCTTGAAATCTGTCCCCTTTTCTTAAAACACAGATTTGAAGAAGTTGAGTTAACACTCACAGACAGCGCGATCTTTGTCTCCTGGAAGAGGGCATTCCATTTTTCTCTTCGGTACTGCTCCCATGCACCCGACAGAATCTCGCCCGCCTCCCCGTTTCTTTCCGCTTGTCCCTCCAGGATGACCCGAGCCAAGGATGAGAAGCAGCCGTCAGTGGAATTGCACCTGTGCCCCTGCACAGTAGCATTTTCCTGATGGCATCAGCGGATGCAGTTTAAAACTTCCCAGGACTGTGCGATTTCTCCTGACTAATGTGGCTTTCTCACTGGGGGGAGGGAAATGAGGATGACAGATTGCTAAAGGCTTTTAAAAAGATACTGCTTGAAAGAATTATTGCCCATCGATCTTCTGTGCAGTCATTAATAAGACTTTCCAAGCAACAGTATTTAAAAGCCTTGGTCATATTCTCCTGGCTGGTAACCACCTCCTCCTGCGCTCCGAGTGACAAACAGCGAGGCGCTGACAGGGCTGATATTAGACAGTGACTTCAAGGCAACGAAACAGTCATTTAAATTTCCTACTCTGCTTTCACCGTCACTGGATCGTAGACCTCGGTTTCTCCAGCGCTACTGCATCATTTGATTTAGAAGCAGGCTCCAAAACCTACTTTTGAAGCCGTTAATCTGTTACTGTTGGTGGCTATTTTCTGATGCATAGTGTATCTACCTAATTCTGCATGCACCCACATGTGCTGAAGAGTTAGGAAAGTTTTATAGCCTGTGTAGAGTTGCATATCACTGGATCTGTGACAGGAGAAAGCTCTTTCCTTTGCATTTTCAGCAGGTGCTTGCACATTACTGCCATTGTGGAAGGGTCTTAGAAAGAAATATTACAAACTAGAAAAAGCCCTGAAACTCACTGAGCGTTCTGGATTACTTAGCTGTTCAAAAGCAGACCTGTGAACACAGGTGAAAAACTGAGCAGGACCTTTCCGACAAAGACAGAGAGGAAAAATACTTGAAAAATTGCAAGTAAAAGTGGTACCCTGGGGGACAGGGCAACAGGCCAACCAGACTCTGTACCTGGAACTTTGGGTGGGAAGTTACTGATCATGCAAGTCACCAACCTAGGCCAATACAAAAAAAACTGGTTTGTTTTATACCAGTTACTAACAATTCACAGATTTTACTCTTCACTTACATTCAAACTAAAGTAATGAAATTAATGCATCTGACTGGTAAACTAGTAGAGTATTTCTGAAACATTCTGGAAACCTCTTTAAAGCACCAGGTCCAAAGAATTAGCTGTTTATCCATTGTTAATTCTGACTCCTAATGACAACACACTGTACGCAAACATCTTTAATGAAGTGAAAAGTATCCAAGAAACAAGAGACAGTCACCTTATAAAGACTAAAAGAAGTGAATCATTTTTTTTTTATTAAAGTGTCTCAAGGAAGTTGCTTCATGACTTGAAAGTGTGAGAGCAGTACTGAAGTACAAATCATCCTGTAAATACGACCCCAGAGTAATTAATACAGAGGACGATTAAAAAAATGTTTGGACCAACAGACCTCAAAATTCACTATCATCATATACTTTTGTCTTCAAATTTTCTATTAAAAATAATAAAGGCAATATGGGTTTACACACCATATGGCCCATATAGTACTCTTCTCTATCTGCTCAGATATGACATTAGTGTTATCCAAAAAACACCTGATGAGTTGTACTTGGCCTCTGCAACAACAGGACTGTTCTTTACACAGTTTTAAGCTTGCAGTTTCTTTTCTTTTCTCTCTGGTGTCACCTGCCTTGCATTCATGTGATGAAAAGGAGCACAGCCTGTCCTCCCGCTTCCTCTTAGTGGACTGCTGAGAAGCAAAATACCCAAAATAGTCCACCTGTCACTAGTCCAGGTGCCTCTACAGTACACTGCAATTTGCAGCAGAGATATCTCCCTGGGCTGCATTTACATGGTCAATTTAATCTGCCGTTGCCAGTGGGTGCAGATTAAAGCTGCAGAACCATTTTAGAACACTAATGGTAATATTTATACAGCCAAATGGTGAGATAGAACAAGGAACCGATCTGATTGTAAAAAACCATAAAAGCCATCTTTTTTTTTTTTCTTCCCTTAAACAGGTTAATTTATAGTCTAATCAGTCTTCTTAACCAGTTTACAGCATCACCCACAAATCCAGGTGCCAGCATAAGGAAGAGGATGGGAATAAACTGGAAAAGAGTGAAATCCAAACACCTCTTCTGGCAACAGCCCACACTTCAGGCAGACAAAGCACAGCCTCAGAACTAGCTCATCAGAATGACAAGTGAACTGTGGTTGTGACAGAACTGTGTATTTAAAACTGGATTTCATGCATATATATATATATAAACAGAAAGTACTACATCTTTCGTCCACCCAATATTTGGTGAGAAAAATTCTATTGAGGGAGTGTTACTGACACTACCACTGAAGTATCAATGTTCTTTTACAGCTTCTTCTTTTTCCTAATTTATAATGTTTGAGATACTATTTTTTAGAATACAACATTTATAAGCCTCATGCTTGACAAAAACCGTATTGCTACACAAGTCCTAAAGTTTTCAGGTTTTTGAATGAATGTGACTTAAAATTTTCACCATAACAAAAAGTTTCAGACATTAGGTTTCCTAGGGTTTTCATTTCTTTTTGTTTAATTTTTTAAACAAAATAATTTTAGAACAGCTCAACTTAGGTGGAGAAAGCATTTGTGAAAGCAAACACCACTAAGTGTTCTGATAAAAGCTACATTTAGTTTAAAAGGGTTCAGATGAGGATTTAAACATCTCAATTTAGTGATGCACTAGTATTCTAAGAAAAGAAGTACCATATTTTACATATGTTTTACTATTGTAGGCATGCAATGAACACATCAGCTGAAGGCTGTTCTGAATATAATTGTATTATACTGGGAAATGGTGGTGCCTCTTGCTGGAATCTCTCTTAAATCTTACAGAAATCTGTATATCAGAACATTATCTGTAGGCATCCTCCACACCCCTCAGCACCAAGCAGCATCTTGGCTCATTGCCTAAATAAGCAGTGAGAGTTGTCTTTCTGAACCTGACATCTGAACGCATTATGAAGTTGCCCAGTATTTCCCAAGCACTTTTGTCCCACGTCCCCCCTAAACAGACTCCACCATTCCTACCTCCTCCCCACATGAGCCAGACCCAGTGCCATGTAGTTGCCAGCTCTGCTGAGCCTTGGTGCTTCCTTTCTCTCTCAGGATGGCATGCTGCTTGTAAAGTTACTTTTCCACTGGTTTTAGGGCTCGTTTTTCACATTAGCTTCTTCCACTACAGCAAGAAGACAAAGAACGCAGACCATGTCTTGCCAAACTCTGCAAAGGGTAATCCAATTCCTGTGCATATTTCCCCCCAGTGATGGGAAGATGACTACTTGAGCAAGGGCTGGCTTGAAATGAAAGCACCTGTTACACGTTCAAAATCTTTGTTCTGAGTTTGTGAGTTCCAATTCTAGGTTCAGTAGAGCTGTGTTCAATATTTTACATAGATATAAGCTTTTGAATTTGGACATGAGATTTTTTACTCTTTGTGTTTATCCCCAGTCTGTTTTTTTTTTTTATATACAGATTAGTATGGATTCTAAAAGGTGATGCAGCTGGATGAGCCAAAGAAAGTCTCATTTTGTTAATTTGGTATCGCTCTCCCCTTTGCACAAAATCAAATTTGAAGTCAGGGAAGATCGCATACACAATTTATACTGTATTTTTCAGTATGAGAATTCTAATGGGACAAACAGTAAATCCCAAATTTAAAAGTCTGAAGCCATACTAATGATCAGATCTCCTAGATCTAGAATAAAAGATTAGATTTAACAGTGACACTACCATCATGACACTCAGCCAGCCTTCAGTGGGGCTATTCCTTAACATGTATTTCCATTAGTACTGAAATAGCTAGTAGCAAGGTTAATACGGACAGAACTGGTTGTAAGAATGGCACAAGACTCATGAGTTAATTAAAATAACGTCTTAAGTGAGGAAAGTTTTCTTTCCTAATTTAAATTAAAACAAAACAAAACACAAAGACAGATGTTTATGGCGATGACATCAGTTCAGTACTATGTTTTACACAATTCTATATGCAAGGCTTAATATTTCAAGCATTGTGTATGAAAAAGCCCTTAAAATATATAAGGTGGTAGTAGTCTGACATTGTGGGTGTCAAAATCTCCTTTTTTAGTGTATTCTGGTGAAAAGTCTTGCATGTATTAACTTTCTTCTCCAAACACAGCATTCAAATTGAAAACAAATGTCAGCTCCAATCTTTCCACCAGAATTATACAGCTGACACAGTCAGGAAGACTTTTTGGGATTAGGTTCCAACAACGGTCTGGGTGAATCTGAAGGAAGAAGCATCTCACACATGAGGAGAGGCTGAGAGAGTTAGGACTGTTCAGCCTGGAGAAGAGAAGGCTCGGGGAGGGATCTCATTAATGTGTGTAAATACCAAAAGGGAGAGTGCAAAGAGGACAGAGCCAGGCTCTTTTCAGTGGTGCCCAGGGAGAGGACCAGAGGCAAAGGGCAGGGACTGAAACACAGGAGGTTCCCTCTGAACATCAGGAAACACTTTTTCACTGTGAGAGTGTCCAAGCAGTGGCATAGGTTGCCCAGAGAGGTTGTGGAGACTTCATCCTTAGAGATATTCAAAAGCTGTCTGGATATGGTCCTTCGCTCCAGCTGGCCCTGCTTGAGGAGGGGGGTTCGACCAGAGGAGTTCCAGAGGTCCCTTCTAACCACAACCATTCTGTGATTCTGTGAGCATAGCTTGAATTTCTATTCGAATGTGAAAACCAAACTTGCACAAGCTCATTCAAATATAGGACAAATGGCTTAACTGGAAGCAGGAAATGTACTCGAACAGCAGACTTTGGATCACCTTCATCCCAGTGTTCTGAAAGAACGGGCACAGGAGATTAAAGATCCAGCAGAAAGGATTTTTAATAAATCTATCAACTCAAAAGTGGAAAAACCCAAACATAGTGCCTATATTTACAAGGAGAAAAAAGCAATCAGGAATATGTCAGGCTTATGAATCTAATCAAAAGCCAGCATGTTACTGAGAAGAATTATTATTTCTTGCAAAATTCAAAGACAAAGAAGAAAACAGATGATCATCAAAGAAGGTATCACGTGGGTTCACCAGAGGTAGATTGTACCAAACACACTCAACATCCTTCTTTGACAAGACAGCTAATTTGCCTAGGTAAAGGAAATGCAGGAAGTTTATATGGACTTTTTATATTCTGCCATATCAGTTATGGACTTTTGATACTGTGCCATATCAGTTAAAATTAAAAAGATGGGAAAGGAACCAAATATGTAGATTGCAGAGATAACAGTGGGTTATGCTGAACAGAAAGCTATCAAATCAGAAGGTTACTAATGGAGTTCCTAAAGAATAAGTCTTTGGTCAAAGTTTTTACATTTTCCTTAATTACCCTTATACCAAAAAAAGCATGCTAATGTAATTTCCTGATAACACCAAGTAGCATCATATATTAAGAAAGGAATTGAAACATCATACAAAAGGAACTGGATGACCTGCAGTGGGTACTGATAATGGCATGCAATTTAACAGTAGACAACAGCAAGACCAGACAGACAGACTAATACAAACTCTCCAATAATGTGCAAGCTGTTGATAAAAATAAGGACATAAGTGGTTACCCTATCATATTACAATGAGTCAAAGAGTATGAAGACTTGAAAAAGTTGTTTGCAGGCCTAGGATGCAAGAAACAAAGTATTCCCAGCAGAAGCAAGTGAAAGTACAAGACCCCAGCAAGAACGCAGATTACCATGCTGCAAGCTCAGGTAAATAAAGATAAACCAAAGTAGATGTAAAAAGCCCCAACAAATAAACAAACCAAAGAAACAAACAAAAAATTAATAGCAGGAAAATCTGTTTTGTGAAAGGATTGGATTATTCAGTTTAGCAAAATTGCTAGGCAGGATAAGATTGCTTTTTACGAGTACATTAGGAGAGGAAAATTCTAGAGAAATGTAAGAACTATATATGGTAATGGACAGCAGTAGCAGAAGTGCAAGTAGGTATGAAGTGGCCATGAATAAATTTCAAGTAAGAAATTAGATAGCAGTTATTGACTATCAAAGCAATGAGGTTCTGACACAGTCCTCCCATTGGAATAATGATGCAGAAATTCAGGCGGTTTGAACAAGGAGCTTCTTAAATTTATATGTCAAAAAAAGAAAAAGAAAACAGGGAGAGGATGTCATTGTCCAAACAACAACAAAAAACCTCATACAGCTGCAGTACCATAACAAAATACACAAAACACTGCAACATTTTCCAGAGGACTCTGGTGTACAGTAATTACAGTGTAGCATGCACTGCGACTACATCATTCTGTCCTCTAGTCCATTTTGTAAAAAATGTGTCTCAAGTAACTTACCATCACATTTCCTATCTCATGATCTCCCTTAATAAACTAAGGCAGACATTAATAAAAATGTCATTCGTCGTTCCTCCATTTTTTAGTACAATTTGCTCTGCACTGCAACAATCTTTGATTTGACACTGCTACCAGAGGAGCCCAGGCCAAGTATAATCAGGGGCACCTCTGTGTTTTTTGGATTATGTCCCTTCCCCCCAGTATTTGTAACATTTTAATTACAAGAACAACCGGTTGTAACCAATGCAAGAATTGAAGTGCTGAGGACTATGCAGTAGGTGAATGAAAATCGCTGCCTTCTGCAGGAATTAATTTATAAACTGGGTTGAGTATGGCAGCACTTACTGGATAGAGTAAACCACCCATCATTCACTGCTCAATCACAATGATCTGCAATGGCTCTTAAACTGGATGGAAAACACTGTGTTCACAGGGCAACAATGCCCTCTTTGTGCTTCCCTTCCTCCAGAGATACATTAATGTTAAAGGTATTTTGATACTGAGAAAAATGATCAGTTTTTGGAAGGTGGTAAATATCTATCAGCGGGCTGTCATCTGATGCTGCAAAAATTTGTAGTAATGCAGACAGCTGTCATGGATGCATTCAGGGCCTGTTGGACAGAGCTATGACCTGAAAAAATGTGCAGAAAGTAGCACTGGCCATAACTGTGATGTGGAACAGGTGAAGCGTACCCCATCTGCTCCTCTTCCCTCTCCTATCCATCCTGTTGTGTTTGAAGCATGCAGGTCCACTCCTTTCCTGATTATGTATTTGTTAGCACACCACTACTGCTTATAATATTGACTGATATCTTGTTCACAAGAACTCCAAAAGCAGAGAGAAAACAGCTATTCGAAGGCCTCCTTGCAACAGTGACTGCTTGAGGAACAACATGGGAAGTGACCCACTGAGGTGCAGAAAAAAATACAGTTCTTTACCAAAAACCACAAGTAATTAAGGGGAAGAGTTTGGGGCCCAAGAAGAAAATTAAAACAATGATTAAAGAATAAATACGATGTAGCGTTAACTACTCAAATAATTTTCAGCTCCTTGCTAATTCCCATCTCTGGTTTATCTGTGTGGAGTATGTTCATAATTGTCTGTCAAGACTTCATTTTACAATAGTATGAACCCTGCTGAGCACTCCTGAAGATAATTTTTGCAGGTATTTGAAGGTACCTGTTATTATCAGTGGGTATCTCAACAAGCTCTGCACCTCAACCAACCAAAAAAATCTGTATTTTTCCTACTGTTGTTTATCTGATGTTATAAATGTACCCTAATGTATGAAAGATACAGTACTATGTCACTCAGTATACCTGTAAGGGTTATATACACACACACACACGTTCGATACAGTAATGTTCCAAAGAGTCTTTACAAATGAAGGAAATCTATTCCCAAAACGCAAAGAAAATAGTGATGGGAGACCTTTTACTCCCTATACAGCAGAACTTTTTCAGTCAAAATGGTAACTGCTATATGAACTGAATAACTGTGGAACTATAAAACGAGTATCATGTTTACTGAGGAAGGAAATGCAGAGAGCAGGTATTATACCTGCGAAATAAATTCTCACCATGGATTTATGCCATTAAAGGAAATGATTTAACATAGCAACAATATACTTAACAGATTTTGTTAGAATTCAAGGTTGGTTGTTAATAAACACAAAACTCGGTGGTATCGACCAAAGCCATATACAGGTAGTACTTACACATCCAAGAAAAAACAATGCTCCTTATATAAGGAGATTTTTGCACCCTGGTAAAACCAGGAGCCTTATTATTATTATAATAATTAATCATTTTAAAGACAACATTTCTCTATAACCACTTTTGCCGTATACCTGCAAAAACAGGTGTGCCCTCCACAAAGATGCAATTACATTTACCTGCTGCAAACTAATCTGATTTTGTTACTGAACTGCAACAACAGATGTATTTAGCCAGTGTTTTAAATAAGGCCAAGATGATATTGTAGCCCCGTTATCTAACAAGACACTCAATATAACTGTAAAAGTTTTACGGAAATCCTGTAAACAATACAAATACTAGAATGGTAAGGCAGTTTCAGTACTTACAGTGCGTGCTGAAATGTACCTTTTACGTGAATGACACTGACTTAGCAGCAGGGTTTATTAGCTTCACAGCGGATCTGCTATCTTTGCCCTCGACCCCATGGCCAGGGCCGAGCGGTGGGAAGCCTCCCCCCCACCGTGCTTTCTGCACCCGCAGTGACACGGGTGTGCCGCCCCCACGCCCCGCGCCGACACCCTCGGCCGGCCCCTTACCCTCCCACCCCCTGAGGCTTCTCACGGACACGGGCTTCCCGAGGTCTCTCGCCGAGATCGCCACGCCGGCAGCCCGAGCCGCGGGGACGCAGCCGGCCCGGCAGCCGCCGCCCCGCCGCACAAAGGACCGTCCCTTCGCCGGCTGAGCCTGCCCCGGCCCCGCTCCCGGTCCCGGTCCCGGCCCCGGCCCCGGCCCCGCTCCCTCTCCCGCCCTCGGCCTGCACGGAGGGGCGCGGCGCGGCTCTGGCCCCCACGGTTCTGCGGAGCGTGGGACACCCACGCCACGCCGCCCCGCCGGCGCCCGCCACAAGCGCTGCCCCCGGCCAGGCCCCGCGCCCGCCTCACGCCCAACGGTCCCCTCAGGCCACCCCGGTGCGGGCCGCCCCCGGGGGCCGCGGCGCAACGCCCCGGCGAGGGGCGGAGAGACACGGGCCCAACCCGCCCCGGGTCGCCCCCGCGCCCACCTCAAACACCACTTCTTCGTCAAACTCCGGTGTCATCCTTCTCCGCCATGCCACCCCCTGTGGGCACTCTGGGAAACAGAGTCCGCCGCGCCGCCGGCGGCCCCTCCCCTCCCCGCCCGGCCCGGCCCTGCGAGGCGCCGGGAGGAACTACAGCCCCCAGAAGGCACAGCGAGCGCCCGCTTCCGGAGCCCCGGTGTGTGGGGGGTGCGGGGGTGGGCGGTGGAGGGGAGGTGCTGATTGGTGGGCGGGGCGGGGCGGGGCGCGGGCGCGGGGCCGGCAGGGGGCGCCGCTGTGCGGCGGCGGCGGGAGCTGGCGGCGCTGGCTTCGCCGGCAGCCGCGGGGCGTGATGCGGCGGCGGGTGGGGGGGGCGGCGGCGGTTGGTGCTGGGTGGCGGCGCGGGGGAACAATGGGCTCCTTCTCCTCGGCCCTCAGAGGGGCCGTGGCATAAGGGACGGCAGGGAGGACGGCGCAGCGCGCAGGGAGCACCATGAGCTCCGCCGGTGAGTGCCCCGGGGAAAGTTTGGGAAGCGGCGGTTCGCTTCTGCCCGCCCGGCGGGGAGTGTCCGCCTGTCCCCGCGGCCAGCGAGCCTCGCCTCACATGCGTGGGGAGGAGGAGGAGGAGGAGGAGGGGGGCGCAGCATAACACTGCGCTCCCGCCCCGGGGAGCAGCCCTTTCCCGGGGTCCGCTCTGGGCGTCCCGCTTCCCCTTCCCCAAATCCCCCCCTACACTGACCCTGGCACGTTTGGCCCCGCGGCTGTGCGGGCACGTCCCGTCCCGGGCTCTCCGCTCCCCCTCCCGGCGTGGGGTTCCGGCCGCTCTCGCGTGTCCGGCGGCGGAGTGGGTCGCTCGGCGTGGGGCTGAGCCGGCGGCGGGTGGAACCTGCCAGCAGCCTCCGCCGGGGGCCGGGTGCTGCGGCGGGGAAGCCAAGCCCCGGGTTTGGGGTTGTCGCTCCGTCTGCCTTGGCGGGGCCGCCGAAAGTTTGTCAGCGGCTGAGCTGCGGCTTCGCCCCGGGGACGGACCTGCCCTGACCCAGCTCGTGCGAGCTCAGGCAGAGGCGCGGGGACGGGAAAGCGCTCGCTTTTGGCCTTTCCAGCTCCTGGTTTGAACTGACCTCCTTCAGCGTTTTCCTTACCTTTCCTCCCCTTTTTCTTGGCCGCTGTCAGTTTCGTGGCTACGAGAGCTGCGAGGCAAATTCTTGGTTTTAAACGAGAGCTCCCCGTGTTGGAGGGAGTTGCTCGTATTTTTTTGTTTGGCTGCGCGGTGGTGTACTGTTAGTACTTTTGTTCACCCATCTGTTAGATCAGTAGATTCCTGGCTTAGGCTGCTTGAAGAGGAGAATAGGAGTCGTTTCTGCGTTGAAAAGATGTCATGTGTAAGTTATGATGTATTGGGTGGAAAACACAACTAATTACGGTGTAAACCTGAAGCGGCGAAGTGCTTCCTGTAAGGATTGGCGTGGGGGGGTGTTCTAAAGAAAAAGCATTACACAGATAACAAGTAAAAACATCAGCCTAATTATCAGTCTCTTCCTGTCAAATATGTCAAATTGTTATCAAGTTCAGGGTTAATTAAGTTATCAGGGCTGTCTCAGTTCATCAGAATTTACAGGAGAATAAAAAGCTCTGTAATGCATCTTTCTGCTCCATTTAATATATTTCCACTTGAAATATACGTGATAGAACTGATTTTGTTTAGATCTCGAAAAACATGTAACAAAGCTGGATATCATCTCTGCTTAACACCTGCATTGTATGTTCGTGTTATTTAGTAGTGCCACTGGTAGTGCAATTCACCCCTGCTCTTTTAAGAGTTAAACAACTCTGCAAATAAAAGATATGTGTTAGGGGGTGCTCAAGAGCTTAGGACTGCACTGTTAAAATTTGATATGGTATTAAGTTCCAGAAAGTCGGATAGATTTTCAGCACTAAACAGTGATTTCAACTTCTAGAGCTGAGGTTGTGTGACAGTCTCTGTTCCTTTAGTTGATGTTGTGATGGTGTTAGTGAGGAAGGTGGGGAGGAAGGGGTTCTAGTGAACAAAGTCACTTAGAAGGCAAAAGTGAAAGGGAAGCTGAGGAATATCAAAGAAGAAAGTGGAACAGTTTTGTGGAAAATATTAATTTTAGCAAGGGATTTGAAGGGAAAGGCTTAGAGAGAGTCCTGGTGGGCAGGAAGAGGGAAGCTGAGGGATGTGTGAAGGCTGTTGAAGAGGGGATGAAGAGTATTTTGTGTGTGATGGATTATATGAGGATAAAAAAAAATATTTGGGAACAGGTGAAACAACATCAGAGATTCACAGTTTTGCTGACAGTGTCATGACAGCTTTTCACGTTTTAGTGAACGAGGGATTTGGAAAAAATGAGGACTGTCAGGAGATGGTTCTGAAGGTTTAATATCCATCTCTTGGTATTGATGCAGAATTTAGCTCCTGAAATATATAGACATGCTTTATAATGCTATTGCTCACAAAAAAACTTACCAACTCCTATATTTTAATTTCAGTCCTGTGATCTATAGATCTATTTCCTACAGTGAAATGATTTAACTGTGAATTTGGTTACTACTCTGGTTTGTGCTATGTAAGCTAGCATTCTGACAACTGATTGGGGTAATACAGTGTTTCAGTAAAAATGGTTTCATCAGGTGTGAAGGCTTCAAATGCAACTCAAAATGCCTAGAAATCCTTCTGTTCCTCCTTCAGTTTAACTTGAAGGGCTCGAGCGTCTCTCTTGTGTCTTTCATTTAATGTACCTTTAGAACAAAGCAACTGGGTACAGCATCATCAGTATTGATTTAATATTTTTAAGTAGGATTTGCAGATATGAGTGACTTCAGCTTGATATGCAGGACTCTCTGTAAGAGATACTGTGCTACTTGAGGGGACTACAATGCGGAGAGAAATACTGAACATAACTTCTGTCCGTGGACAGAAGCTGCAAAAGCTCCAACATTGATAACCCAGCCTTAACTCCACTCCAGCTTGCCTTCTGCCTTTCTAAATAATGCAGTGCATATTCAGTTTCTTGTTATATATGTTTTCTAGTTCCTCTCCCAAATTGTTTCAGTTACATCTCAGTCCAGAGCTGGATGTAATTCAGTGATAGGGGAAGGAGTTCTGCCATAGCTGTTACATATTTGAAAATGTATGTGTAAATCTGGACTTGTTAGAATTAAGGAACTGTTGTACTTATTTAAAATACTTCTAGATAATTAAAAAATTATCTTATTGTAGAGATCAACCTGTATGTTGGTTTCAACCGTCATTTATAGCTATTCTCCTCTCATTACTTTCTCATGTACTGCATATTCTTTATATACAATGCTGATGAACGTGCATTTATTCATTTTCTGCCTGGAACCATTGTGCTGCCTTCAAGTATGTGCTTTGCCTTTAAAAGGGAAAAACAAACGCTCAGAGTTCTGAGTTTGACGTTTATTATTTCTTTCTGAATAAACAGTCCTTATATGTGAATCTATACAGCTTTTTAAATGTGGACAGAATGTATAGCTTAAACTTGAAATCTGATTTGACAACAACAATGAGAACTATGTAGTGTATTTTAATGTCAAAAATGTAATTCAAAGGGGAAAAAACCACAGCAGGAACAGGATAAACAAAATCGACATGACTTTTCCAATCAAACTTCATTGCTTTCAAGGACTGAAAAAATGAGGCCTACAGGGTTTAATGTCCTTTTAACCCTCTAATATGTCAAGTTTCATTAGAGTTACTCAGTTCTATCTCTGCATGCGATCTTAAAAGCTTGTTTATTCATCTTTTGTACTTACTCTAAAGTTATCCCCAACTTTCCTGTTTTATTTCAACAAGTCATCCAACAACCTGAGATTCTGAAATGAATGTTTTCCTTTTGGAGTTTATTTAGGATGTTTTCTAAAACTGTAGTGTCTTGGAAACCATCATTTTCCCTTGTATTTTAAAAATGACATGTGTTATCTTCCGGGATGTCATGACTCATTCAGGTTTTTTTGTTTTCTTTTGAGCATTGTGGCACCTGAGAAAATCAGAGCCTCTGCATAATGAGAAAATAAATACACATTGACAGGAAATAAATTAATGATCTCGGAATACTTTTTTAAGGTGTTTACCTAATGAAACTTTCTTTCTGTAACTGAAAGCAAAGTAATTGAACTGAAAAGTTTTGTTGTGAGTCATTAAAATGTAAGTTGCTGGGGAATGGAAGTTTTAAAATACTTTATCAGTTTCTCTATGCAGTATTTTAACCTCCATCACCATAATCTCTGAGTGTGCCCCAAACATATAGCAGTAATTATCTGTCTCCTTACATGCTCTGTAAAATCTGGATTGGTTTTCTTGTTTTGTGTCTGTGAGGTGTAGTGTTTTATGCAAAAAGTAGTCCCAGGAACAGTGAATTGGCTGTTGGAGTGAGCTCTTCCTTCACATAAGAAAGAACAGCACATCGATCCCT